ACACTTAAACATTGAATGTTCGTTTTAAAAGCGATATTTTCCTTGTTCCTTGATTATATCTTTATGCTTAGGTATGTTGAAATAAAGAAAAAATGAAACAAAAAATGTTGTTTTAAACATCATGATTAGAATAGAGATATCTGTCTATGTTTTGTTTTTCTAATGGTAAATACTTTTTATAGCAATATTTTCCTTGATTATATCTCATGTCATCCTTGGTAACCCAGGCGTTTTACCGTACACATGTATTAAATGTCATATATTCGGAATGTGCACCGTGGTTTCCGACGATGATCTCATGTCTAAGTATATTGAAAAAGAAAAAAAATTAACCATCTTAAGTACAATAGAGGTATCTGGCTTTATTTTGTTTTCCTAATGGGAAATAACTTTTTTTAAATTATCTAATAAAAGCAATCTTCACATCAGACTTCATGCAAATAGGACACTTTGGCCCAAGGGACTGTAATTGGCGTATACTCAAAATAAGCCAAGGTATGCCCCCGTAAACAATTTAATTTTTGTAAAATTTTAGGTTTATGGTAAAATAATATTGATAATTTTCTAGCACCCAAATTTTTTCCACCTTAAACGGTAAAATAGAAATAAAAGATAGAAATATCACATAGTAATGTTATGTACTGCATTAATTAGGCCTAATTCCCCAGAGCTAAGTCCGCAAAGTACCGGAAAAAAGTGTTTAGCTAGATTTTCGAAATGGTCAATGGCCTCTGGGTTCATTTCTCTTCAATTATGCTCTTCAATTATGATATCAATTGTTGTGCAATACTTAAAACAAACTTGACAGAAAATAATTGAGTTACAATTTTTTTTGTTTTGTAGTTAGACATATCCACACAGAAAAAGTCATAAAGCCACTTTCCAGCACTTACTGGTAGAGAAAAACCCAAAGAACCCCTATATGCTTCATTTTACACATAAACTGTAGAACCACTAAAGTTGTATAACTTGCGGGAAAATTTTGTCACAAAAAAGACTCCAAAGTTCCTGGCAGGATTTGAACTCAAAGTTATAAAAGACCAATAATTTGAAATAAAGAAACTAAACCACTTGGCCAAAAGTGTAAAACAAACAAAAAAATTGTTCAGCCTCAAACCTGTTCATAATTGTAAGTTTCCAACATTCCTAAAATGAGCTCTCGAATCTCGCCAAATTTCCCAGTATTATATGCTGGATCCTGCATTATCTTCTGAAGTATGGCTGGCAATGCTATATATCCCATCATATTGTTGAGTACATGATGAGTTAGCAGTTTAAAGTCTAGAAATAAATGATGAGTCAGCAGTTTAAAGTCTAGACATAAACGATGAGTCAGCAATTTAAAGTCTAGAAATAAATGATGAGTCAGCAGTTTAAAGTATTGACATAAATGATGAGTCAGCAATTTAAAGTCTAGAAATAAATGATGAGTCAGCAGTTTAAAGTCTAGACATAAATGATGAGTCAGCAGTTTAAAGTCTAGACATAAATGATGAGTCAGCAATTTAAAGTCTAGAAATAAATGATGAGTCAGCAATTTAAAGTCTAGAAATAAATGATGAGTCAGCAATTTAAAATATAGACATAAATGATGAGTTAGCAATTTAAAGTATAGACATAAATAATGAGTTAAAGTATAGACATAAATGATGAGTAACAATTTAAAGTCTAGAAATAAAAGAATCTGCAAAATACATGATTAATCAACGACTTAAAGTTTACGAGTGAAGAAATTCACAGTCATCAATTCTAAGGGACTCCACTGAGTTTTTTTGACATGGCGGGACTAGAAATATTTTTTAAAGATTATTTCTCCATTTGATGGAGGTCTATACCAATAACTTATGTACAAAATTTCAGATCATTAGCTTGCTCAGTTTTTTCCAAGAACAATTATTCTTATTGTGAACAATGACTCAAAATTGAAAAGGGTTACAATGCTTTTTACTAAAATTGGACTAATAACACAAACTTGCAAATTTTCAATGTATTTCTTGGGTATATTTCTTAGTTATCTTTGTATATATTCATGTTTAAATTGCCCATATGATGTTAAGTGAGAAACTAAAATTTTATGTTTTTAGGTTTTTTTTTGACCTCAATGGAGTTCCTTTAAGTCAAACCGCAAAAAAACCCATACCATTCAATATATCTTTGTTATCAATATCTTTGATTCTTCTTTGTGGAACCATGAGTGCATCCAATAGTGGGAACCATAATGCCTGAAATTAAATTACATGTATATCACTTATAACAATATACCGCATAATAACAATGCTGTTGACGTGGTCCCAACTCTTGAATTTAAATTGGTTTTCCCTCGGATATAATGAAATCTGTTCATAATGATAAAAATTACTGTCCTACTTTCTTCATTAGTTACAAATGTAACATGCACTTAATTCAAGTATTAAAAAACATTATTAAACACCTGTTTGGCATTTTTAAAGAATTAAGAAAAAAATGGATTTCTGAAGCATAATGGGCCTTTTATTGAAATAACTATCTTTAGAGTAAGTACATTCATAATGACTTATGTACATGCAACAAATATAAAGGTGGACCATCTTATACTTGAATGCAATTTGACAACACTCTATATGGTTGGCCACTCAATTTTAGCATTTTGATTTTGAAATGCCTTAAACTAACAAGATTTTTAACACTGCATGCTGTGAAAACACTCCTCTGTCGAGGGCCACAACTACAGCTTAGTGACTTTTACAAAAATTCTAAGTTACAAAGGGATATAACTCTGAAAATAATTCTTTCAGAATTATGGCCCTTGTCTTACAAATGCACCTTGTCATGATAAGCGAGTTTTCAAATTTCGTGTCAATATCTTTTAAAATGTAGATATAATGGGCTACATCGAAGTTTATGCATGACAATGACAACAACAACAATGCAACGATCATAATAGTTCAACTTTTTCTTCAGAACAGACAACCTTTAAAGGTAAAATTCAAGAATTTGATATCAATATCCTTCAGATTAATTATAGACTGATCTCTTCAAAACAGGACTAATCCAAAACTTGGTCCAAAAAATAAATGTATGTCAGGTGCACCCATCTTTGGAATATGATATCATATTATTGATGGAAAAAGATCATTATAGCTCAACTTTGTCCATGTTCTTCCATTTTCAAGACGGTTTTAGATAAACATAAAGTAAAAACTTTAACAATACATCCCCTTTTATAGACGATTCTTGTATTGCTTAAAAATATGCCAGGCAAATACCTACCTTGAAATTAAACAAGGTCTGTCTGCTTAACTTGAAGGTCTATCCTAAAAGATTCTTGTGTTCAAATTTGAAGACAATCCAATCAAAAATAACCAAGTTACATCCACTAACAGCAAAAGTCAAGCAAAATCCAGGTCAATGTCATTTATGAATGAAGGTCAAGGTTAGTCTGGTCTATTTCAAGGTCTGGTTCCATGAGTTGTTGTGGCCAAGTGTGAAGACAATACACAAAGTAACTTAATGATTATGGTCAAAGTTTGCTGATGGCAAAGGAAACACCAACATGACCGTAAGAACACATAAAAATGAAAATAAATGCACTGGCAGTAAAAAGGATTTATACAAATAGAAAACAAAATCTCTGGCATTACCTCCCTTGATGCTTCGTCCATTTTTCCCGAATTTCTCTGACATAATTGTACTATCATTAACAATACTGTCTGTATCTCTCCAAACTGTGTCTGACTATCTGAAAACAAGAAAAAAAAAACAAATGAGCCGTGTCATTACAAAACAAAACATAGTGCGTTTGCGACCATGCTGGTTGCAAACGCACTATGTTGGTTTTGTCGTCACAAAAACATTAAAAATCACTCTAGTTGGGTTTTATATCGCACCAACACAGTATAGTTCATATGGCGACCTTTCCAGCTTTACTGGTGGAGGAAGATCTCAGGTAACCTTCCACTTATTATTTCAGGCATGAACAGCACCCGAGTAGAACCACTGACATTCCGAAAGCTAGCTTAGTAGCTTCCTCACATGAAAGCCTCAGAAGCTTCTCTCGAGATTCAAACACATTTTGTTGAGAGAGGCAAGTGCTCTGAAATGAAAAACCTTGACCATTTGGCCACAAATGCCCTGGAAACCACTCTGCAATAAATAAATGTACTTTCTTATTTATATATATTTGTGCTGTTGAAAAAGCATGTAAAGCCTATTATTTCATTCTTTCATTCCCTTTCTTTCACTTTTGTATGAATCACTATTACTATTCACTATTACAAATCTTTTTTAATCATAGCTGCATGTTCTACATGTACATACCATGGTATGAATTATTTATGTCTTTATATTCCCACAATTGTCTATTATACAGCAACATTGTAAAGGTATATTTTACAGGTAAAGTGTGCTAAAATATTTAAGTAAATTTACACTATGAGATAATGTTTTTTTTTAGCAAGGACACCTTGAAACAAAAAGGTACAAATATATAAAAATACTTTAAACACAGAATGGGAGGTTCCTTTTAATAAGGTATAAATACAAACAAGAGGGCCATGATGGCCCTGGATCGCTCACCTGACACAACCGCATCCAAGCAATGTCTTAAACAAGCATCATGACCAAGTTTGATGCGACTGAGTCAAACATGTGACCTATAGTGTGTTATAAAGATTTTTCCATATTTGGGCAATGTGACCTAATTTTTGACTGGACACAACCCATATTCAAACTTGACCTAGAAATCATCAAAACAACCTTCCTGACCAATTTCCAGGAAATTTGGATCAAAACTGCAGCCACTAGAGTGTTAAAAAAAAATTTCTATTTTTAGCTCCTGTGACCTAGTTTTTGACCGGACATGACCAATCTTAGCACTTGACCCAGAAAACATCAAAACAACATTCTTGACAAATTTCCAGAATATTTGAATCAAAACTGCAGCCACTAGAGTGTAAACAAGCTTTTTCTATTTTTAACTCCTGTGACCTAGTTTTTGACCTGAGATGACCCATCTTCGAACTTGACCTAGAAATCATCAAAACAACCTTCCTGACAAATTTACAGAATATTTGAATCAATACTGCAGCCACTAGAGTGTTAACAAGCTTTTTCTATGTTTAGCTCCTGTGACCTAGTTTTTGACCGGAGATAACCCATCTTCGAACTTGACCTAGAAATCATCGAAACAACCTTTCTGACAAATTTCCAGAATGTTTGGATGAAAACTGCAACCATTAGAGTGTTAACAAGCTTTTTCTATTTTTAGCTCCTGTGACCTAGTTTTTGACCAGACATGACCCATCTTCCAACTTGACTTAGATATCATCAAAACAAGTTTCCTGACAAATTTCCAGAATATTTGGATGAAAACTGCAGCCACTAGAGTGTTAACAAACTTTTTCTATTTTTAGCTCCTGTGACCTAGTTTTTGACCTGAGATGACCCATCTTCAAACTTGACCTAGATATTATCTAAGCAACCTTCCTGACAAATTTCCAGAATATTTAGATGAAAACTGCAGCCCCTAGAGTGTTAACAAGCTTTTTCTATTTTTAGCTCCTGTGACCTAGTTTTTGACCCGAGATGACCCATCTTCGAACTTGACCTAGATATTATCAAAACAACCTTCCTGACAAATTTCCAAAATATTTGGATCAAAACTGCAGCCACTAGAGTGTTAACAAGCTTTTTCTATTTTTAGCTCCTGTGACCTAGTTTTTGACCGGACATGACCCATCTTCGAACTTGACCTAGATATCATCAAAACAACCTTCCTGACAAATTTCCAGAATATTTGGATGAAAACTGCAGCCACTAGAGTGTTAACAAGCTTTTTCTATTTTTAGCTCCTGTGACCTAGTTTTTGACCGGAGATGACCCATCTTCGAACTTGACCTAGATATCATCAAAACAACCTTCCTGACAAATTTCCAGAATATTTGGATGAAAACTGCAGCCTCTAGAGTGTTAACAAGCTTTTTCTATTTTTAGCTCCTGTGACCTAGTTTTTGACCCGAGATAACCCATCTTCGAACTTGATCTGTATTTCATTAAGACAAACATTCTGACAAAGTTTGATGATGATCCAATCAAACTGTGACTGCTAGACTGTTAACAACCCAATTATTAGAGCGTTAACAAGCTTTTTCTATTTTTAGCTCCTGTGACCTAGTTTTTGACCGGAGATGACCCATCTTCGAACTTGACCTAGATATCATTAAAAACAACCTTCCTGACAAATTTCCAGAATATTTGGATGAAAACTGCAGCCTCTAGAGTGTTAACAAGGTTTTTTCTATTTTTAGCTCCTGTGACCTAGTTTTTTGACCCGAGATAACCCATCTTCGAACTCGACCTGTATTTCATTGAGATAAACATTCTGACAAAGTTTGATGATGATCCAATCAAAACTGTGACTGCTAGACTGTTAACAACCCAATTGTTGACGACGCACGACGCACGACGCACGACGCACGACGACGGACGCCGGACATAGCCCCATCACTATACCTCACCTTGACCACTTCGTGGTCAGGTGAGCTAAAAAAATGCCCTTAATAAATGAATATCATATAAACACATAGGTTTGTGAGTAACAGTAAAAATATCATCGCCAGGGAAAAACTGTTACCAAAGGCTTTATTTTATTACCCTGAACGGATACTTCATTAGAACAATGTTTCTTTAGGTTTCATTTTTAAAACTGTGAAAAAGCACTGTTACCTAGGTAACAGCACAAAATTTCAAGTCACATGGTACTCTTGAATTAACAGTAAGAATAACTCCCATTGGCCTATCAGAAATTACTATTACAAAAATAGTGAGGGGTTATAAATATTACCTTTTCCCTCATCCGATTTATTCAGTAGGCATTCTGTCAATTTCTTTAATTTTCCAGTCAAATTCTGCAAAAAATTATATTTATATCAATTTATAAACATGTACTTAAAATCGCTTGAAAAATGTTACCAAACAAATTTTTCCATGTTAAATGTTACCATTCTCAAGATAAATACATGTATATCAAGTGTTACCAACCCCAAGATCAGTATTTTTGATATAAATATAAATTTGCTAGCTTAACTATTAATTAAATGTTACAAGCTTAAAAATCAATATTAAGTAAAATGTAACGAACCTCAAAATGGTATTCAAGTAAAATATAAGCAACCTAAAAATGGTATTCAAGTAAAATATAAGTGACCTTAAAATGGTATCCAAGTAAAATATAAGCGACCTAAAAATGGTATCCAAGTAAAATATAAGCGACCTAAAAATGGTATTCAAGTAAAATATAAGCAACCTAAAAATGGTATTCAAATAAAATATAAGCAACCTAAAAATGGTATTCAAGTAAATATTACCATCCTCACAATGGGATTTTCAGTGAAATATTACCAATCTCAAGATAGTAGTAACCAATCTCTTGATGGTATTCCAGTAATATATTATCAACCTAACAATGAGATTTAAGTAAAATATTCACCAACCTCAAGATAGATTCCAAAAGCCCCTTGTATGTCTCCAGCTTTCTCTAACAGATAAGCAGTGGCTTCTGACCGATGATGTCGTCTGCATATCTGAAAATTTTTGATAGCAATTGTACTCGATTATTCTCAGTACTTGACAAGAACAGGGGCATAACTCTGTAAAAATGCGGCTCAAAGTTATGGAACCTGTGCCCATCATTTAAGGGAAATTATGAAGAACCAAGTGTATGAAATTTCAGCCTATTCCCTTCAGTAGTTTTGGAGATACAAGCTTGCATGCAAAAATTTAACCAACAATGTGACAGCGAAGAATTTTGACATGCTATAAATTAAGTCCGAGTCAATTCTTGAAGTTCATGTACATTGAGTCGGTCACATGGTCACAGAAATATGCAGTCTGAATGGAACTCAAAAACAGGACACTCAGAATACCTTTACCCAGCTCTACCACAAAGCATGTCCTCGTCTTTTAGTGAACAGTTGTTAACTGTGACAAGTCTAAACTAAAATAGACTCAAAAGATTCTATCGCTAACATAGAAATAGTTGAAGCAGTAAAATAACAACACTTCCGAAAAGTTTCATTAAACTGGAAAAATAGGTTAAAAAGAGAAGTTATCTGTTGGTAGGAGAGTGTTTGTGACTTTTCTCAGTGCTTGATAGTAAAAAAGAGCCTGGATAGTGTAAAATTTTCTATTTTTAAGAAAGAGCCATAATTCTGTCAAAATCCAAGTTAGATTTATGGGCTTTATATAGTGACTTCCTATAATGCTCTGAAATAAATGTGTGAAGTTTTAAGCAATTCCCTTCAATAGGTTTTGAAATACCAACTTGCAAGGAAAAACTTAACCAGAGTGTGATGATGACGCTGACAATACTGCACTAGCTCTCCCTATATGTCAACCTAAATATTGTTGATCACACATGTACAGGCAACAAACATAGAGCTCTCAAAAATAGCTCACCTTGAGCATAAAGAAATCAAATGAGCTAAAAAGTAATTGATCTTACAGCCAGAGTTTCCTCGAGTCCCTTTAAAGGTCATGAGTAGGTATACTCCAATTGGTGCCAGTCAGATCCTAATGGGTAGCATTAATTAGAAGCTGATTTTAATCAGATTGATGCAAAAACTTAAGCAAAGTATGACAACGATTCTGAAGTTACTACAATAGCTCTCCCTATTCTTTGAACAGTCCAGAAAAAAATTGTTGAAAATGAATGTACAGGCAACAAACAAAGAGTCATCAATGAGCTTAAGATTAAATGATCTTACGGCCAGAGTTTCCTCGAGTCTGTATCCTTCATTCGTCTTGATGAAATTTTCTACTTGTTGGGGCTTGAACTCGCACATAAGGTCGATGTATAGTTCAAATATACCAGCCTCTACATGCACTTGCTTTTCTGTATGAATTGCACTCCCAGATGTGTCCCTGAAAACAGAATTATAACGGTTTCAAATCCTAGAGTAACTACTCTTTTGACCATATTACAAAAACTGAACTGTATTTCTATATAAATCGCACTTCCAATGTGTCTCTGATAACAGAATTATAACAGTTTCAAAACCTGAAGTAACAACTCTTTAAGTATAATACTACAAACAGACTCATATCTCCATAAGAATCACACGGTCAGATGTGTCCCTGATGAAAGAATTATAACAGTTTCAAAATTTTAAAGTAATAACAACTCGTTGATCATGTCAAAATTTCTCAATAGGTAATTGTTCTTTACTTACATGCATGTTCACAATATTTTTCTGATCAATAGATTTAATATATACACTACAGTGAAACCTCTACAGGATGGCCATCTAAAACCAAGGTAAGGAACAATTACATACAGTGTAACTGCCACAGAGTGGCCATCTTTAAAGCAACAACCTCTTTTACAACAACTGCATCAATTCTTACCCAACGTGAGACTTTACAACAAACTAACCCTTTCTAGAGCAACATCTCTTAGTAAAAACCAATATCTTTGTCTTCCCTCTTGGTAAAAACCAATATCTTTGTCTTCCCTCTTGGTAAAAACCAATATCTTTGTCTTCCCTCTTAGTAAAAACCAATACCTTTGTCTTCCCTCTTGGTAAAAACCAATACCTTTGTCTTCCAATCAGTGTTGCTCTGAAGGGGTTATACTGTAGTATGGTCTGTCTTTAGTCTTTTTTTTTCTTCTTAATTTTCAAATAAAATGCATTGCCCTAATAAATACCCACCTTTAATCAAAACATAAAAAACTGATATCATAAAAGATCGCTTTCTAACCTGAACGCCATTACACCATGAAGGAATTCAAACAGAACAGGTTTTTCCGTTTTCAGTTGTTTGACGACATCAGCTAAACTTACGGACAGGTTTGACACTATCATCTGGGCCGCTTGCTTGCTGTCTATTGAAATCAATTCCTATATAATACAAACAAGAAGAGTGGTGTGGGGTTTGTCCGGTTTTCTTGCGCACCAACACAATTTGGGTAATAAGGCGCCGAAACAGAAAAGATGGTTTTTGGCTAACATCTGGTGTAACGAACTTCAAACCAAATACAGGGGTCAAAGCCACTTCACCTCCTGTAAGTAAGCAATGCATAGACTCCAAAGTCCATGGTAAGATTCGAACCTACAGCGGTTAAGGGCAAGTGGTTTGAAGTCAACAACCTTAACCACTCGACCGTATACATTATCTTTAACTTTTCTCAATTGTGGTTACTGGTTCAGATGCCTAAGAAGCGGTCAATCGGGCCAACTCAAAAAAGTATGATATTTAACATTTATGGAAAAATGAACAATAAGAAGCAAAGAAAGATGATTTTTTTTAAAAATCCAATTATATAAATAGATGATATTGATTGAGTGTAGGTTTAATACTTAATTTATTGAAAAAGTTGAATAAAATAATATTATGCGAGCCTCTGGCAAGCATAATATTGTTTTATTCAACTTGTTCAATAAATTTAATATTGAATCTATACGAATATAGTATTATATTTATCGCATATCTAAAATAAGAACTGTTAACTGTTTAAAAGAGTCACTTTTCATTGACCCTTCTATAGTGTAACGCTAACATAAGCACGCTTTTTTATGCTATGTTTGTATATAACGCAAATGACATCACATCAAAGTGTTATTACAATAACTTAGTGTAATATCTTTTTTATTAAATGGCTTTGTTACACGCCTGTGCCGCAGTTTATGTGATAAATAAACATACCTCCAGATTTTTCAGGGCTTCTGCTTGGACACTGGCTTTCTCTTCTGCTGAAAATCTCCCACTATCTAGTATTGTTATGATGAAATTGAAAGCATGGTACTGGAAAATAAATATGAATATTATAAATCATGCTAATTGTTCAGAACAGTTCTATGTATCACATTTCATGGTAAAGTTAACATAACTGAAGTAAAATATTTTCAAAATATTGCATTCCATGGTAAACTAGAAATGTGTCCATAGGACACGGGTGCCCCCACCGGGCCACTGTTCTGTCAATCTTATGACTCTAGGACAAATATTTTTTGAAAACTAAAAATCATTTACTAAGTAAAAGGCAAAACTAAATATGCTGAGCAACCTTCCCGTAAGGTTTAATGACTCTATGTCAAATTCTTTTTGAGTTACATGCGATGCAAGTTGAAAATTGCAAAAATTTTCTAAGTCAAGGGCAATAACTCTAAAAATACTAAAAATATCCATACGAAAATACCCAGGTGCATAACTACACATGCTGATCAACATTCCTGTAAAGTTTCATGACACTAGGTCAAATACTTTTTGAGTTACATGCAACACAAGTTGAAAATTGCAAAATTTTACTAAGTCAAGGGCAGTAACTCTATAAATACTAAAAATATCCAGACAAAAATACCCAGGTGCACAACTACACATGCTGATCAACATTCCTGTAAAATTTCATGACTCTAGGTCAAATACTTTTTGAGTTACATGCGACACAAGTTGAAAATTGCAAAATTTGACTAAATCAAGGGCAGTAACTATAAAAGAACTAAAATCTTTCCTACCTATCCTAAAATTTGCAATATTTCTAAAATTCAGAAAATGAAAAACAATTTCACGATTAAAACTATTTTCAATACACTGCCAAGAAGACCTTTGTAGCTTCTCACTGCAAATTTTAGGGCAAGAACGGGCACCCGAGGAGAACCACCCACTTCCGTAAGCTAGAAACATAACCTAGAAGGATCACACCCTCACATAAAAGAAACCATAGTCCTTACTAATAGACAGATTCTAACCAACAGCGGTGGGGGGTAAGTAGTTTGAAGCCAACAACCTCACCAGTTGGCCAAGGACGCCCTTTGGCAACAAATCAACTTGTATAGATATACCTTTCTAGCATAATCTCTCAAGTAACAGGATAAAATCTTGTCAAACTGTCTCCTCTTCTCATACAACAACTCACAGACGCGGTAACTGAAAGTATATAATTCATATTCTTACACACTATTCCCCTATTAAACAGATAGGGCGATCAAATACTTGCACAGCATAAAATACTTTCCGACTTTTTTTGGTGCAGAAACCTTAAGTTGGGCCTCCTTTGCATTATTCCAGGCTCAAGCAAACATCTGAATATAAATGAAGTCTATCTGTAAGCTAACTGATTAGCTTTCACAAACAACCACTGTTTGTTTATTTTTCTAGAATTAACATCAATTTTAACACATTTTTTTTTTTATTTGGTAATATTTTATTCAACAATTATACAATCATGTAGCTTTTTCTTCAATGAACTTTGAGAGGATGACAACTAACTTACAATTTAGCTCTCTCAGCCAAGTATAGAAATCTTTCCTCGTCCACTTGCTGTAGACCCCCGGCATGTGATAGCTCTAATAACGCCTGCTGTCTCTCCTCGTGCCTAGACTCGTCATCCGGATTACACAAAAACTCCAAAACCTGACATATAATCAATAATTTGACATATAGATAACATATATGTTGTTATTTGTAAATTGTTGGGTGTAAAGTTACACCAACAGATTGTACAGCAACTCTTGAGCTTTACTTTTAGGAGAAGACCGAAAAAGTCCCATGTGATGACAAAATTTCATGTGACGTTTTGATTAAAATTTCATGTGATATTTTTATTCAAATTTCATGTGCTATCTTAGTTTCATGTGATAATAATATTTCATGTGACTATCAAATTTTAAATTGTACACAACCAATAAAGTGAGTGTAATGTTTTTGTGGCTGTTTGCCTTTAAAGCTGTAGATGTGCCTGTAGTGTCTTAAGACACTATTTTAACACGTTTTGGTCATATCTAAGTGGTTGATCAAACAAACCAGCTTTCATGGATAACAAATCAGTAATTAGCAAGTTCTTTACTAATCCCACATGATTTCTGAATCAGTAGTGACTAGTGAGAGATACCAATGACAATGTCCAAGATCAATTGTCACGGAAAAATTATGCCTGTATTACTTTGCCAATTCTCACTGTATTAAGATGAAAGGGTGAACAACACTTGTTGGAACAGGTTATTCAAAATTGATACCAATAGTTTAAAGTTAGCCTACCTGTTCAAATAAAATTTTGTTGACAGTAATTGTATTTTCATGTCTTGCCATCTGCCTTGCCAGAAAAGTAAACAGTATTCCAACCTGAGTCGGCTGCAATTAAACAAAAGTTTTGCAATTAAACAAAGGTTTTAAAATAAAACAAAAGTTTTACAATAGAACACAAGTTTTAAAATAAAACACAAGTTTTACAATCACATTGTATGTGGCAAGTGCTATTTCACACGCATGAATTTAATATGAAAAAGAATGAAATATTCCCCTAGCAAAATATTCATCTAATTTTTTTTGAAGGCTTAGCATATATATTGCATATGCTACATCAGCTTTATCAGAAATTGTCAAACAACTTTCATTTCTAGATTTAAAGTGGATTGGTCTCCAATGGGTAAATTTTATCAATTTAAGACAAAAACAACTGAAATATATCATTTCCACATTTTTATGAAATATTCCTTAAAAAAAAAATGTTGATATCGTTTTAAGTATCAACATTCATATGATGGATTTTCATTTTTATACTGTTCTAGAACAATTCTTTTTTATTATCTTACTAAATATTTAGTATAGGATTTCATTTACTACAGTTATTAAATTCATCAAAGTAGTCCTTGAAATTGGCATTGTGCCAACATTTATTTTGAATAAAGCTGTAAAAGTGTTATAAGTTGTAAGTATTTTTTTAAGTTTATTGTGTTGATTATCAGTATTAAACATGTTGTGATATAAGATAAATATAAAGTATACGCAGTATCTACTTACAGTGAACCCAACACTTTCCACCATTATCTGTAGCAGTATATCAACAGTGTGTTGACGCTTTGCAATTCTACAATACAAAGATATCACTGACATATCTGTATAAAATGTATATAATAATGGTTTTGTTTGTTATTTTGACCCCAGGGCTTTTATTTGAACAAACTTAGTAGACACTCGCTAGAAGATGTTTCATGCTTAATATCTAAACTCTAGCTATTTGGGTTTTTTCAAAGAAGATTTTTTTCAGTTTTTGCTATAGACATATAAGGAAAATCAATGACCCCCGGGGCGGGGCCAATTTTGACCCAAGGGCTTTTATTTGAACAAACTTGGTAGACACTCATTAGAACATGTTTCATGCTAAATATCTTAGCTCTAGCTCTTTGATTTCTTAAAAGAAGATTTTTAAAGTTTTTACTATATGCATATAGGAAAAAATCAATGACCCCCTGGAGCGGGGCCAATTTTGACCCCAGGGCTTTTATTTGAACAAACTTGGTAGACACTCATTAGAACATGTTTCATGCTAAATATCTTAGCTCTAGCTCTTTGAGTTCTTTAAAAGAAGATTTTTTTAAGTTTTTACTATTTGCATATAGGGAAAATCAATGACCCCTGGGGGGGGGGGGCCAATTTTGACCCCAGGGCTTTTATTTGAACAAACTTGGTAGACACTCACTAGAAGATGTTTCATGCTTAATATCTAAACTCTAGCTATTTGGGTTTTTTCAAAGAAGATTTTTTCAGTTTTTGCTATAGACATATAAGGAAAATCAATGACCCCCGGGGCGGGGCCAATTTTGACCCAAGGGCTTTTATTTGAACAAACTTGGTAGACACTCATTAGAACATGTTTCATGCTAAATATCTTAGCTCTAGCTCTTTGAGTTCTTTAAAAGAAGATTTTTTAAGTTTTTACTATATGCATATAGGGAAAATCAATGACCCCCTGGGGCGGGGCCAATTTTGACCCCTGGGCCTTTATTTGAACAAACTTGGTAGACACTCATTAGAACAAGTTTCATGCTAAATATCTTAGCTCTAGCTCTTTGAGTTCTTTAAAAGAAGATTTTTAAAGTTTTTACTATATGCATATAGGGAAAATCAATGACCCCCTGGGGCGGGGCCAATTTTGACCCCAGGGCTTTAATTTGAACAAATTTGGTAGACACTCACTAGAAGATGTTTCATGCCAAATATCTAAGCTCTAGCTCTTAGGATTTTTAAAAGAAGACATTTAAAGTTTTTTCTTTTGGTTGCCATGGCAACCAGAGTTCTGCATGGAAATAAATTCTTTGAACATTTTTTAAAGGTGACCACCAAAGGAACATTCCTGTGAAGTTTGAATGAAATTGGCCTAGTGGTTATGAGGAGATGTCATTTAAAGTAAAAGTTTACGGACGGACGGACGCCGGACGATAAACAATCACAAAAGCTCACCATGTCACTTTGTGACAGGTGAGCTAAAAACAGACAAAACTACCATATTGGTTCAAAAAAGCCCAAACCCCAATTGCTTACAATTTTTTTAAATTTTCGAACAACATATTGCTTGAAATAAGCACACCCCACCACTTCCTAAGCGTTTGAAAATATTTTCATACAATGAGCATTGAAAATAACAATGCTGAGCATTCTTTTGATCTTTTGAATACAGGCAGTCATTTTTAAAGTCTTTTTTTAAATTTTTTTCTACGAATATATCATTTGTTTTGGATCATACATATATACCAAATGTATGTGATAAATAACTTACCCCTCAGTCGTATTAAACTCCTCTTCTTCAAATGCCTGTAAAATAACAATAATAATAATAAAGAAATATAATTTTAACTGTAAATTAACAAAAAATTATAATGAAATAATATACTAATTACTAAAAGTACTATTTTTCAAATCAATATTTTTTTCATTTTTTTTTTCTTTTTCGTTGTTATGGTAATTATATTTTTTCATATTTACACCCTTTTCAACATTGAAATCAATCGTTTCATATCAAATGTCTCTGTAACTGTCTGTGTGGTAGAGCATTTGAAAAAAATATCATGGCAAGCTTAATCTATATTCAAGCATTTGAAACCATCTTTTTGTGCCAAGCTAAATATTCTACATTCAAGCATTTGTTTGAAAAAAATCATGCCAAGTTTATTCTACATTCAAGCATTTGAAACCATCTTTTTGTGCCAAGCTAAATATTCTACATTCAAGCATTTGTTTGAAAAAAAATCATGCCAAGTTTATTCTACATTCAAGCATTTGAAATCATTTTTTTTGTGCAAAATTCCCTACATTTAAACTTACATTACAAACTTTCGTTCAAAAGTTCATTCGATTAAGCCTACACTGTATGTTCAAGTTCTAAAGAAAAAATACTTGTTGTAATAATAGTAGGATTAATAATGAAATTAATAATAATAAAGTTAAATTCTTAGCCTTCTGTTGTGATCTGTAAACACCCTTTTATATAAAAACAATAAAATTTGAAATGAAAGATTCTTACCAGAGCCAAGACATTAAGAAATTCTCTCGTATCGAAGGCAAGAAGTGTACGGAGATATGGGTATGGCAGCTCATCTGGGGAACTACCCTTTGACTGTCGACAGGTGAGACTTTCAAACACCTGGAAATATATATAAATGTAAATATCTGCAGAATGATGCATTTTATGAATTCAAGAAAATAATATATCTATTGCCATCCTATTTTTATCCCGATCAATTTCAATGATATTTTTTTTAAAAGTTGGGTTTTAAAGGAGCTCCACTGATGTCCAAAAGTCTAAACACACAAAATTTGAAATTCCTTCTACTGATGTCCAAAAGTCTAAACACACAAAATTTGAAATTCTTATAAAGATCAACTGGGGCACATAAAATGAAAAAAATATGCAAAAAATATTTCAGGAAGATACTTACAAGTAATTAAAATAAATTTTGATGTGAAATTCTAATTTCAAAAAGCAACACCTGTCAGCAACAAACCAAAATATTTGTCTCCAAAACGATGTTGCTTCACAGAGGCTGTACAGTATAAAATATTCTTGCATAATAACTGCGGACACATGTATACATTAACGGAGGACAGAACATGCATTAATTGAGAAGAATCTTGTGACCACATGCCGTTGTGGCACATTTTTTGAATATGCCTGACTAAGGGCACAATGTAAAAACAGCTTAATGCAATGATAGCCCTGGTAGTTGTATCATCAAAACATTTGTTTGCTTGTTTAATTGGGTTTTACTTCACACTGACACAGTATAGGTCATATGGCGAGGTTGCAGTTTTACTGGTGACAGAAGACCTCAGTTGCCCTTTCATGCTTTATTTCAGGCACAACCAGGCACCTGAGTAGACCCACCAACATAAAATCAAAACATAATTGTCAAATGACGTTGCACTAGCCCATAAAAATGCAAGGGTTTCTTTACATGAAATTCAAACAACGAAAAGCAGAATAATCAATATGGACGTATATACTTTTATGCAAGAAGCCCCCTGACTTATTCAATCCCTCGCTCTATGGATTTGGCCCTGAAATGTATCCTTGTGCTTTTGCAGATGTTATTGCATGAAAAAAACATGCATTAACCCTTTATTGACTTACATCATGTTTGACTTTACCCACATATTCCTCAGGTATATCACCTAAAGGATAGGCTCTCCCCGCTAGGCAACAACTAATGTATACCAGCAACTTGTTCCCCAGCTTTATCTGACTATCTGTTAAAAAAAAATAATAGGCATTTTAAAGTCACACACCACCAGATAAGTAAAATATATATATTTGAATCATGAAGAAAATTGGATTATTAAAAATGTTTTTTTTTCAAGATGATGAAATATGTAAATATTCACAATTCAGATTAAACTATGAATGTATTATTTGAAGTCAGCAACCTTAACCACTCAGTCAGGGAAGTCGTTAACAAAATTGTAATAGTTGCACAAATAAAATATCTTTGAGAGAATACACCTGACAAGAACAATCTGGTGCAGTCTTCAAACAGCAAGCTTGTCTATGCTTATGCTTATGTGTAGATGCAGACATTTTTTTTAATTAGTGTGTCAAATTAAAGGCATTATTAGAAATAATTATCAGAATGGTCAAGGTAAAAAGAACCCCTCAAAACAGCCAAGTACCTGATAACTGTTTTCCAGTATCTACAGCAGCTTTTAGAGTTGAAAGTAGTTCCTCTAGTGGTGTAGTGTAATCAAACATCCCCTTATTATATACATATATTATGGCATCATAAAGTCCATGGCTCCAGCATAGGTGAACAACCTGAAATATTTTATAAAAATCAGAGACCATGGCTCCAATAGCTGAACAACTTGAAATATTTCATCAAAATTAGAGAGACCATGGTTCCATCATTGCTGAACAACCTGAAATATTTCATCAAAACTAAAATGACCATGGCTCCAACATAGGTAAACAACCTGAAGTATTTCATTAAAATCAGTGATACCATGGTTCCAACCTGGGTAAACAATCTTAAATATTTCATAAAAATCAGAGAGACCATGGCCCCAACATTAGTGAACAACCTGAAATAATTATATTGCAAACAACCATTTATGTTAGGTCATATAACCTGTCAGAAATATTTATGACAAATTTATAAGAGAAAAAAGTGAGTTTTCTTAATAAATTGGCAGTATATTGGAAGAATATTAAAGTATCTGAATGCCAGGATTATCCAATGAAAAACGATGTTACAATTGGCAGTATTATAAAGTTACCTTCACAATTATCCAATGAAAAGCGATGTTACAAACATGCAGTATTATAAAGAAAACTTACATGGTGAATATCAAGACTGGCGACGTCCATGTGAACAACACAGGCTTCCACACTCTCTAACATGGATTTCTGCTCGTAATGTGTCACAAAATCCTTCATTACTACAGGAGGCATCGTTCTCAGCCTATCATTGATTATATATGGCTCTAAGCATTCAAGAAACGTTCCCATAGCAATAACGTCCATACTGAATCTCTCGTATATACGACCGAATAGTATATCCCTGTAATGTAAAACCAAGATAAGAATATTGGTTGCAATAATGGGTTATAAGGATCTTACATCAGCTGCCGTTACAGACCGAACTATCTAGCTTAATGGTAACTGTTTACGGCAGTTAAGAGGCTCTGCCAAGTTTCTGCCAAACAATTACCCCAGTGCTAGATATTCAGGTCTGTTACAACAGCCAATGTCTGATTCTTTTCCTTGCATATAACATGTTAATTTCATTTTTAACACAAATTACAAAAAAAACTAATATTTCCATTTAGCACTTTTTCTTATAGAAGTGTAAGAATTTACAATTTCATTCATAATGGCAAAATGATGTCATCCTAAGAATGCAATTCATTCATAAAAGTATGGCATTATTTAAAGGGACTCCACTGAGGTTTTTTGACATGATGGGACTGAAAATATTTTTGCCAGATAAATGTTCCATTTAATGTAGGTTTAGACCACTAAACTACTTTCTTCAGATTACAAGCATCTAACGTGCTCTATAATCATTATTTATCCATTATAAAATTAATGCCTGCCCTTCCTAAATTTTTAAAAAAAATACTGGTTTTTGAGACATAATATGCGTTTAAGACATGCCCCAAAATAAAAACTAAACAGAAAGATCATTCCATTCACTAGACCATCAAGATAATAAAGTTATATGGCACTTTTACGTTTTTACCACTTCTCTTAATAAATTTGAAAATTACATATAAAGGGAGATCACTCAATAAAACATGATGAACTTACATCCTGTTTAAATGTAAACAATAATCCACACACACTGGCACAATGCTCTGAAAGGTAAATGACATTTTGATATCAGTGTGAAAAGCACATGACATTTTGATATCAATGTGAAAAGCACATGACATTTTGATATCAGTGTGAAAGTACATGACATTTTGATATAGTGTAAAAAAGTCATGACATTTTAATATCAATGTGAAAAGTTCATAAAATTTTGTTACCAATGTGAAAAATATATGACATTTTGATATCAGGGTAGAAAGTACATAGCATTATTGACAGATTTTCTACATCAGTGTGAAAGGTACATAACAATTGATATCTGTGTGAAAAGTACAAAGCATTTTGATATCAGTCTGACATGTACATGACAGAAAATTTCAACCAATCAAAACAATCTTTACAGTTTGGCAAGTATCAATACCTGATAATATTCCTCCAGCTCTTCAATTTTTCCCTTCTCAGGGCAAAACTGGGTCATAGCTAAATCTACGAATTGAAACAACAACTCTAGCATCTGCAATTAAAATTCAAAACAAAAACTCTTACACATTTATACTTAAGTTAAACAAAGTATTGAACATTTACTCTTTTTACATTCCTTTTCTTATCTTTATAGCATACCTGCGCCGATTTTGACACTCCATAACAATTGAATAGCATGTCCTTGTATATATTTTGACACGAAGACACTTGCATTATACAAACATATACAAGTATAAACATTGTACTAAATGTTAGCATTACACTATAGGCGTGTTAATGAAAAAAATAATTTTAAATTGAAAAATGGTTCTTTTTTAGGTATGTGATAAATGGAATATTATATTTGTGCAGGTTCATTACTAAATTTATCGAACTTGTTGATTAAAATAATGTGTGCCAGAAGCCTGCATAATATAGTTTTATTTAACCCGTACAAAAAATTCAGTATTGAACCAGCACTCATTTAATATCCTCTATTTCTGGTATATTTCTGATATATTGTTTTTTTACTTATTTCAGAGTAACATGGTAACTTTCAAGCTTCACATAAGACACCAAGATGAGTCTCAAAATTTTATTATCACCATTAGCAGCATTTAAAATCTTTGGCTTACATAAAATCTAATTGTATAGGACATATAGATCAAAACCAACACAAATTTAAATATCATTACATGTTTCGCTTTATTAGCTTCGTCAGCTGATCAAATCTAATTTAAAACTTATGATACTTTGTAACACATAGCTGAGCTTTCAGTAATATTTTTTCATTTAACTTTCATTTAGTTAATCTTATAAAATCCTTACCAAATCAGCAACCACTTCTTTTTTCTTAGCACTGGGTCCCTGCAGTCCTACCACAGCTTTAGCCTTGCCTTCATAGAATGACAGAGCCAGGGACAAGGCATCCTGGTACCGATTTTCCTTCACCAACACGTCAATTCTCTGTGAACAAGTTGATAATATGTGTATAAAAAAATAACACAAAAAAAACCCCAACAATGTGTAAAAGGAAAGTCAACATTCAGCCTTAGTAAAATGAATACAGCATACAGCATTCTATCAAGTGTTGTTGGTAGGACAGCGTGACAGACTATCAGTGCTTGATAGCAAACAACAGCCATGATGATAATGTAGAATGTAGAAGTTCACAAAGAGCTGTAATTCTTCGGCCTGTATTTTTTTTTGTCAACAAAAAACAGTGATGCTTAAGAAGAATTCATTCATTACTTAGTCCCTTCCAATCTATTTTCCTTAGTGTCTAATAATAAATATCAAGTATCCTTAAGTAAAAGGCAAATATCATAGTGTCAGAACGTAACTACATTTATGAAAAAATTTAAACTTTTCTCTTTGTTAAGATTTATGGACATTTTTCTACATATTTTTGGTAATATCTCCATGGTCTGTCCACCAAACTGGCTTTCCTGGATAACTAACCAGTAATAACCAATTTTTCAGCAAGTGATGAGCTACATATCCCATGTGATTTCTGAACTGGAGGCCAGTGATAAATGATCCTTAAACTCAATGTCCAAGATCAATTGTCCTGGGAGAAATTTCACATTTCTCAAGGATTGAACCAGCAATTCCTGGCACCAAGGTTGGTTATAAAACCTTTTCCTGAGATCTGGCTTGAATCTCAGAATTTTTATTGGTAATTTCACTTTCTGTGCCTGTTTCAGATCAATCAAATACATATGATCTGAGTTTGAGATTAGAGTATTTCTTTATAACCTTGGCCCCCTGAATTACAACTATTGAACTATGTGGGCAGACTTGATTTTTTTTCTCTTTTTCTCTTATTCTTACCTCCCTCCAAGTCCTGAGAGAGAAAACATGAACAGTTTTGGTTCCCAGCAGGAATAATTGTCCACCATGACTAACTATTGTCTGGTAACAGGCATGGTCCCCAGCATAAGCCTGAAACAATAAGATATTGTAAAAATTTCTTACTTTAAAAAAAACGGCCATAATTCTATTAAAATCAATGTTAGTCATTGGCCTTAGACAGGAACCTCCAATTACACCCTAAAATAAGTGTGTGAAGTATCAACCAATTCCCTTCAGTAGTTGTGGAGATACCAACTTGCATGCAAATATGCAGCTGACGCCAATGCCTGGGTGAATAGTTGAGCTAAAAATACACTTATTATCAATTGCTCTTTCCTGAAGTTTCACATGATTTATGTGGAAAGTAAATATTCAAAAAAAAACACACACTTACCAAAGCTTGACTGACATTTCCTCCAGTGGCCAAAGATTTAAAGAAACTTGTATTATATATTAACTGAACTTCACTCATGTCAATAATCTGCAATAAAGAAAAACACCTAAGATAAGGACTGATAATATCTTTACGTTTTACAATCATAGTTTAGTACTATATTCACAGAGCTATATTTTAATACAGAAGCTATGATGTCATTAAGATTATGTAAATCCACCAACTTCACGGGTCAATTAATCTTGTGCAAAGAACTGTGGGTCTGGCCGTGAAAATATTCTATTTTGATAGCTTCTTATCCCTAATTCCACAACTTAGTCCGGCATGATTTCTTGTTTTAATTTTATATGCAATGTTGAAGTTTTGAGAAACTAAATACCTGATCTGTATGACTGAAATACTGACAGACAGACACACAGACTACCTCCTTAATCAATCTATACAGTTGGCATTAAAGATTTTTGAAACTAGAGATAAAAATTTGTTTCCGGTTTTCTGGAAATATCTTACCTCCAACTCTTCCTCCGACCTCACATCAATCACATGCATCTTCTCTCTGGTATCTATGGTAACCAAAGTTCTTGTATTCATCCACTTCAGAAAACAAATACAAAATATAACTATTACTGTAAAATCTATATTATTTGTGGGGGCACTAACTTCTGTGGTTTTTCGTTGATACGTCTATCCCAAAATAAATGATCAAACAAAACTATATTCAAATAAATTTGCAAAAACAGACAGTCCAAGAATATAAGAACCCACGAAAATTTAATGTCTGACAAAACCACGAAATTTCATTCCCAAAAACTTAAGTGAATTCACAGTAAACACATACAGACAGTACAATTAGTTTCAACAAAAGAGATAGCCTTAAAATGCACATCAATCCTAAAGCAAAAATTTTCATTTTTCAAAAGCTTTTTTGCAACTAAAGTTTCCCAAACTTACTTATTGGTCATGATTTGTTGCTATGTGTAATACTAAGTACTATCATCATAATTGTTTTTTGTATTACACACTTTCTATTATAGACCAATTCTTTTTAAGGCATTTCCCAAATGATTTTTTATTAATACTAGAAGCAATGTGCGTGTTTGAACCCATGCAGCCAGCAGTCATTAGATTACTAGTCAGATACTTTAACTACTCAGCAACACAAGCCGTTGTTTTCTTGAACAAAAAACTTTACTCTCATTGCTAAGTACCGGTTAGTTCCAGAAATGGATTCGAAACTGTTTCATTAAGCTTATAGCTTCCAACACAATTGAACTAAAACAAATCGTATAAACTAATGCAGCAGTTTAGAAAAAGATAATTTCATGGCACTAGATTCCATAAATTGCAATGCCCAAGGGTCTTGTACACTTACAGTGATATTAAGTAGTTTATAAGACAAGGAGATCTTTTGAAGCCCTGTGCATCTTATATCCTGGGCACTTGTACACACAACCTGTATTCAAAAAATATATAAAAATGTATGTCATTACAAATTCAATTTGCTTGTACCTTTGTTGCTGTTTTTTTTTTTTTATCTTCTTTTTCATACAACATTCATATTTCATCGGAAAATGTTGCCTTTCAATGCACATTTTATGTTCATGTAAGTTTGTGAAATCTGTTTTTAAATTGTGTATTTCTGGGATGATAAAAACATTAATTTTGCACTGGAAGAGATAAATAGCAGTTGTATAAAAATATTTCACTGTAAAAGATATCAGTTTTATTTCACCCATTACTGGCTGGAACTGAAAGTGATTAACAACATACAGCTCCAAATTAAAAAAAAACAAGATTGCATTTGTGAAAAATGCTATGCCACTGCATTAATACAACACTAAATAGTAGGAACACAATATTTTTGTTTCTATACAATTGAAGATTGCCATAATGCACAGATAACTGACTTATCTAATTGTTATTATCAGATTAGTACCTTCAGACAAGAAGAATTTTAATTTTTTGCTTTATGACATAGTGACTGAAAATCAATGACCCCCTGGTGGGGCCAATTTTGATCCAAGGGCTATAATTTGAACAATCTTGCTAGAGGTTCACTACACAATGTTTTATGCAAAATATCTAGCCTCTAGCCTTTGTCAATTACAGAAGATGATTTTTTAAAGTTTTTACTATATACATGTAAGGAAAACCTATGACCCCCAGGGCGGGGCTAATTTTGACACTAGAGACAAAATTTGAACAACTTTGGTAGCGGAACTAAAGATGATATCATATACCAAATATCAAAGCTCTAAGCCTTGTAACTTCAGACAAGAAGGTATTTTAAGCTTTTACTATATGTACATATAGTGAAAGGTATTTTAAGCTTTTACTATATGTACATATAGTAAAAATCAATGACCCCCAGGCGCAGGGCCAATTTTGACCCCAGGGCTATAATTTGAAAATCTTGGTAGAGGTTTACTACACAATGTTTCATGCAAAATATCTAACTTCCATACTTTGTCAATTTCAAGAAGATGATTTTTTAAGTTTTTACTATATACATGTAAGGAAAAATTATGGCCCCCGGGGCGGGGCTAATTTTAACGCTAGAGGTAAAATTTGAACAACTTTGATAAAGTATGTATAGATGATATACCAAATATCAAAGGTTTAAGTCTTGTACCTTCAGACAAGAAGGTATTTAAGTTTTTACTATATGTACATATAGTGAAAATCAATGACCCACTTGGCGGGGCCAATTTTGACCCCAGGGCTATAATTTGAACAATTGTCTACCCGACAATGCCTTATGCAAAATATCTATGCTCTAGGCCTTGTGGGTCTTTACAAGAAGATTTATTAAATTTATTCTTATAATTTCTTTTGGTTGCCATGGCACCCAGATTTCTGCATGGAATGAAATTCTTTGAACAACTTTGGAAGCCCTTCACCCAAGGATCAATCATGCCAAGTTTGGTTGAAATTGGACAAGTGGTTTTTCACAAGAAAGTTTTTTAAGTTCACTATATAATCTATATAACACACATACAAACACACACACACAGGTGAATCACTATATGCCACCGCATCGCAAATGCTGCGGTGGCATAAAAAACAGCACAACTCCATTTATAGAATTTTAAGTTGTACAGGTTAATATATGTAAGATATTTTCCAATTTTTACAATATTGACCTCCCTTGCCAAAAGTGGCAGCCATTTTTGGGGGTGTCAGTATTTCATATAATTTTCTTGACAAAACATGTAAAGTACAAAATATACAGCTAATTAAATTGAATTGTGAAATTCCTTTAAACATATAAAGGAAAATATTATTCAAGCATTAATATATAAAAAATCTAATCAGCTTATATAAAAATGACAGAATTGCGAGACACTTTTTGTATCTTATCTTAGGCATAAACAAGATTGCATTTGAGAAAAATGCTATGCCACCGCATTAATCCTTGTACCTTCAGACAATAAGATTTTTTGACTATAATTATGTTTATATTGAAAATCAATGACCCTCGGGGCAAAGGCAATTTTGACCCCATTGCTATAATTTAAACAATCTTGCTAGAAGTTCATTTCATAATGTTTCATGCAAAATATCTAACCTCTAGCATTTGTCAATTACTAGAAGAAATTTTTTTAAAGTTTTTACTACAAGTCATGTTTAAGTTTTTTTTCCTATATACATATAAGGAAAACCAATGACCCCCGGGGCGGGGCCGATTCTGATCCCAGGGCTATAATTTGAATAATCTTGGTAGAGGTCTACCAGACAATGCCTTATGCAAAATATCTAAGCTCTAGGCCTTTTGGTTCTTTACAAGAAGATTTTTTAAATTTATTCTAATAATTCCTTTTGGTTGCCATGGCAACCAGATTTCTGCATGGAATGAAATTCTTTCAACAACTTTGGAAGCCCTTCACCCAAGGATCAATCCTGCCAAGTTTGGTTGAAATTGGACTAGTGGTTTTTCACAAGAAGATTTTTTAAGTTCACTATATAATCTATATAACACACACACACACAAACAAACACACACACAGGTGAATCGCTATATGCCACCGCATCGCAGATGCTGCGGTGGCATAAAAATAAATTGATCTTCAAAATGGCAGCCAGGGGAGGTAATTCGTGCAATGTGAAAAACATCTATAGAAACAACCAACCTGGTGAAAATATATTGTTGATTCTCGAGCAAATGCTAGAACAGGGTCTATAACTCTGTCACTTTCCGATACTTGTATAACTACAAACTGCCATGCTAGCAAAGGAAGCGTCGATGGGTTACCTTTTAACGGATGTGTGAAAACAACCTTCAACTGTGGGGTTAAAGTGACTAACAGCACCTGAAAAATATATTCACACATGGGAATACAGTATATTTAGATCCAATGGTTTCCTCCACTTAGCTCAATAGCGAGTTATATATATATTGCCAAATTTGAAATACAAAAAGCTATAAGCATAAATTTTATAAACTACATCCTCTTTTGATAGACTTGGTGCCAGCAAAAAAAAACAAAAACAAAAGAAACAACTGTTTACCTTTGACAGGGAGGCCATGGCTAAAATAGAGACATCTTGCATTGGGTGATCTTTACTGGCCAGGCTCATGTGAAGTGGTTCTATGACGCAAACCTCTCCTCGGCTGAAACGTTAAACTAAAGTTCAAGCCCAACAAGATAATGAACTTGTATAACACCTTGAGCATGTAACAATTGTGTTGTTTTAACCATTAATCTGCCGAGTTTCTAAAATGGACTTGTCCAGCTTCCATTTCTGGAACTGTTCATTTAAAATTTAGGGGATGTCACGATAAAAATTTAAAGTTAAAAGTATGCCAGTATATAGCTATGTCAGACGGCACAGAGGGCAAATCCATTTCAATTCCAACATGTTATAGGTGATTTTGGTAAGCTATTTTGGTTTTAAAGGCACATCAGAAACCATTCTTTACAGTCAGTCCTGTTAGTGGTCTTAATAGAGGGAATTTACTGTAAAGGTAGCAAAATGTAAACTAAGTAGTATTTTTAGTTTAGTTGACTGCATAAGTTCTCAAAGTGGTTTATTCACTATTAAGACCAGTTCGCTATTAAGACCAGTTCACTATTAAGAACACCAAGTCAGTTCTGTTAGTGGTCTTAATAGAGGAAATTTACTGTACTGTACTGCAAAATCAGTCATTCATCCCACAAAAATGTAAATTATTACTTTAATCTTTTTACTTTTCTTTAAATCCTAATGCATTTTTCTCAAATTTTATTTTCTTAAAATATTTTGGCTTATTTTGAGGCATGCAGTTTTCAGCATTCTAATACATTGACCTCAAGTTTTCGATCCTTTTCCGTATTCATATAGATCGTCAACATTGAAAGTACCGAAAGATAAAGTGGTAAAATTTCAATTTGCGTACAAACAAGTATTAATTTGCGTACAAACAAGTAAAACGGCCTTACCTTCCAGAGAAGAGACATTTAGACTCGCATGTTCTCATGCCTATCAATCGTCTATAAATAGAAATAAAACAAATATTTTCTTTTGAAAAGAAGCCTCTGACACTATTAAAAAGAATTAAAAAAAAAACATAAACTTTGTCAGAAATAGGCCCTTTCTTTATCGCAACAGTGTAGAAATATGGTGACGAAAGTAAGTATAATCATATTTTGCATTAAACTCCCGACGTATTATATAGATTGTGAATATGGTATACATTTCTTTAATTATCAATCAATTATATTACTTTTCTTACGATTTAACTGTTTAAAATTATCTGATTTTTTTGGCGCTAATTTCAACGCACTTTTGACCATATCTCAGTCATTCCATCTTTCCGGAACCTGGATAACTAACCAGTAACAACCAATTTCTCTACAAGGTTCCGACCACTTATATCACATGATTCCTCAGTCAGCAATTAAGAGACAAATGGACATTAGACTCAATGTCTAAAATCACTTATTGTGGTTAAAACTTCCATCTCACCAGCAAATCATGGATTTTTTTTTTAATTGGTTATATCATATGGAACTTGAAGCTTTAAGTGTAAAAAACTTAACATACATAGTACAACCACTATACATACTTGAATTCCAGTTCAAATACAGAACCGCCACTGTCACTGCAAACTGCAAACACCAGACTGTCTGTGAACTAAAAAACAAATGAGCTACGTCACGACAAAACCAACATAATGGGTTTGCGACCAGCATGGATCCAGATCAGACTGCGCATCTGGCAGTCTGATCAGGATCCATGCTGTTCCCTATCAGTTTTTTTACTTATTATAGGGTCTGTAAGCGAACAGCATGGATCCTGATCAGACTGCGCGGATGCGCAGGCTGGTCTGGATCCATGCTGGTCGCAAATCCATTATGTTGGTTTTGTCGTGACACGGCTCTAATAAAACAACATACATTCTGTAAGTAAACTACACAGGAATCACACATACTGTCTGTGAATTACAAACAAAAGAAATATACATCTATATAGTCATACATGCCATAATGTCCAGACTGATTTCTGCGACACTTTAAAAATGTTTCTTAAATTAATATAGCAGCATGTAACCTAGTAAACCAATATTTACAACTTTCAAATATCATGATACAGTAAAGCATGCGTTATATTTTATCACTGTGGTAGCGTAAGTTTTTCAGCGTATCTGTATTTATACTGTGACAAAAAATGTTTAAAAAGGTAAAGTTTGCTGTATCATAACTTTGTTATTAATATTCCTGACAGGTTAACTTATATAATTGTATATAAACGGTTGTTTGCGATATATAAAGCTCACTTAGCAGCTCGGGTTTTATTTCCAAACAACAGTTTATATAGGGTCGTATAACCTGTCAGGAATATTTATATATAATAATTTTTAAGCTGGATTACCAAGATAATTATTATGTTCTTTTTTTTTTGTCTCTTTTAAAAGACATATTTTATCAGTGCACAATTATTCTATCCGTAACAAACTGATCTACTTAAAAACCAGTTAACAGGTGTGTTTATAATGTAAGTCAATCTTTACAAAATAAAATGTTGCAGCAGTTTAAAATTATAGCAGGATAAACATTGCAAACACTTTACTAAGATGGTTTTTTCATCGGACAAGTCATATATTAATCATCTAGTTCCATATGATTATTCGAGTCTGTGGTGAAATTTTATCTTTTGATGATATCTGATTTCAAAAACGCCCAAACTACAATGTGTGGGATAGTATTCTTAAAAAATACCAGGAAAAAGTAGTAAAAACTAAGAATGCTTGGGAATGCTACAAATATCTTTTAAGGTAAAGAAATATAATTACCTTTATATGAAGAACAGCTGTACCAGGTGGGTGGGCATCTGTGATTGTTCGAATCAGTTTTCCATTGGTGAGATCCCACATGGTTATCTGTAGGAAAAACAGAATATGTCTTATTATTTCGTACAGATACCAGATGCAGACAACCTCTGAATTGGAACATCAATACCAGTATGTTAGACAGTCTTTATAATACTGCATGTTTGTAACATCACTTTTGTTATTGGATAATTGTGCCATTTATATAAACCATATACACCAGACAGATAGTCTTTATTTGGAGTTGGTTACACTGTTCTGTTAAATCAATAATGGGTTGTTCAAGAGTGACTGATCTTTATTCATAGGTGGTCCTTAAAATGAGTGAGACTAAAAAAAGGATTGGAGCACCACACCAAATACCGTATTCCGGTACATACCGGATAAGGCGCTTGAATGATAAAATGATAAAATCTTGCCTTTTTACCCAACGGAATGAACTTTAACAGTACTAATTCATCTTTTCACACCGATTTATGTATGATAATGAATGAAAAATGTAAAAATCAGCGAAAAAAACAATATTTGTCTATTTTGTGATCATGATTTCTGCAAGTGCCTAGAGGTACTGCTCCAATCCTGTATTGAGTTAAATTCCCTTAAAATAGGTTATACAGTATAAATGCACTAGTTTATAGACTAAAGAACTTATGGGTATGATTACTGTAACAGGGGTCGACAGAGGGACATCCAGACCAGACAGGACAACAAGAGCTGTTGGTAGGACAGCAACGCTCGACTATTCTTAGTGCTTGATAGTAAAAAAAATGCTTGATACAGTTACCTCCTCCTGTTTACAGGTTGGGGTCATGATGGTGAACAAGTGTGCAAAGTTTCAAAGCCATATGTCAATGGACTTTGAAAATATTTGAGGTATTACAAAAACTTTAACATAAATTCTAAGTCGAAAAAGGGGCATAATTCTGTCAAAATGCTTGATAGACTTACCTCCTCCTGTCTACAGGTTGGGGTCATGATGGTGAACAAGTGTGCAAAGTTTCAAAGCCATATGTCAATGGACTTTGAAAATATTTGAACTATTACCAAAACTTTAACATAAGTGGTTACGCCGACGCGGACGCTGACGCCGACGCTCGGGTGACTGCAATAGCTCTACTTATTCTTATCGAATAGTTGAGCTAAAAAAAATCTCCAAATCTATTTTTAACTGCTGGGATGAAGCATGCATACCTGTCCTCTAGCGAAGCCACTCAGAAGCCGGGTACAATCCTTATTAAAGCTGAGAGAAGAAACAGCACCATACTGGGCTCCAACAGCAGTGCTTCCTAAACACCATTTTAAAACTTGTTTAGGATCTGTAAAAAATAAAAATAAATAAATTTTAAAAAATAACGACATATTTTATAATTTAATATTTTCAAACTAAAGATAAAATAACTTTAAATTTTGCCATTATTGTTGTGAATATTATTTCTTGTATCGCAAAAATAACTAGAAATGTGTTGTCATGCCACAAATGCAGCCAAAATTTCAAATGTTATACTATTTAGTTCCAAATATGCAAACATAAGCTCCATTGTTTGTTTTCTTGGATTTTAAACCACACCGGCACTGCAAAGGTCAAATGGTTATTTCTAAGCCTACTGGTTGAGACAGAACTCAGGTGCCACTTGATACAATATTTCAGATACAATATTTCAGACACAAGAACCACCAACCTACTGTAAGCTAGCTGGACAGGTTCCTCACATGAAAGACTCCAAAGTCCCTGAAATGATTTAAACCCACAGCGGTGAGAGGCAAATGATCTAAAGTTGGCCACCTTAACCACTTGGCCATGAAGACCCTATACATGTACCCCATGTCTGCATAAATCACAACTTACAATAGCTGTAGCAATGAACAGTTACAATTTTATGGAAAGACTTTAAAATATCAGAAACAGGCAATCTGATTAAAATTAGCTCTGAATAACGATCAAAGTGCAGAAACAGGTAAGTTAGTAAACATTAAACAACATCAAAAGGGAAATTCCATTATCATTTGAGCCGCATCACAACAATAGCAACATAGAGCTTTTGCGACCAGCATTGATCCAGACAAGCCTGCGCATCCGCGCAGTCTGATCAGGAGACATGCTGTTGGCTTACCAACCCTATTACAGGTAGAGAAACTGATAGTGAACAGCATGGATCCTGATCAGACTGCGCAGATGCACATGCTGGTTGCAAATACGTTATGTTGGTTTTGTCATGGCATGCTCATTTATTTGTGATTGATTTTCCTCCTTAATAATCTGAACCATAAAGAATCAAGTGCTTACCAAAGACCAAGACAAGACCATGAGATGTTCCAATAGCTATCAGATTGGATACTGCCTGAAAATTAAAATACCAAAATCACACAATTCAATTAATAAGTATATTATTAATAATATAATTATGAAGTTTTTTGGTGAGTTAAATGGCCAGTATAAACAGAGTTATACCAATGTCTAACAACTGCACCATGTCACAATTAGCAAGTATTTTTCACACTGGTAACTATTTAAATGTATGAATAATGGGCTATGTCAAAGTTTTTGAACAACAACGACAACAATGTGCCGCAAGGATCATAATACCTTGACTTTTTCTTAAAAAAAAAAAAATGGGCTAAAAATTATAATACTGCACAAGATAAGATGGACATTAAATTAAATACATATATTTGCAGCAACTATATACAAAGATAATATAAATTAATTCAAAAAACATTTTACTTGTTTACAGGTTCCTTGGTCACAAGAATTGCAGGTTTTTCTCCAGAATTTTGGGAATATGACCCATACCCATGGAATTGGGAATATAAGCGATGTTTTGTTAAAATTGGGAAAAATGCATGACTGAAATTTTGTAGTGATTAAATGAATGCAAACAATCACTGCTGTCTAGGAAGGCATTTTCAAACATTTAAGCATCATAACAGTGAATAAGCCTTAATTTCAAAGATTTTAGAATTTGTTACTCAATATTTCTATTTGGTAACTTTCAATTGGGAATTTTTTTCTGTGGATTGGGAAAATAATAAACTATTTGGGAATACGACCAAATATTAGCTATAAAATAAGCCTCCAAAAAATCGCTAAATTGTAAAACTTATTACAAACAATTTGACTCTTTAAAGTAGATTACTAATTGCTACACATCAAAATATAGAAATGTTTTTATGCTTGTAGTAAACAAAAAAGAAACTTTCATACCATTGCTGTGGGCATTCCAGCATCTACTTTATCCTGAAAATAGAACAGATTCCTTTTTTTTATCATAAGATGTCACTTGTTTTCCATGTAAGATATAAACCAATACATATTTCTTTATATAAGCTTGTTTTCAATGTGATATACAATTATTAATAAAGTTAACCAGAGGCTTGCTTTGTAACAATTTCTTGAAATCTAAAATGATATTATTGGACAACTAATGAGAGATTTATAGGTTATTTCATGGGTATCCATTAGTGGAAGTTTGGGAGTCATTTACTCTTGAGTTTGACTTCCAAAATGTAATGCTTTTCCTTCTTTACGTATACAACATGAATTCCAATGTCAGACGTTTTCAGTTTTGACTTCCAAATTGTAACCCCTGTTATTAAACATTTAACTGTACAATACAAGAATATATTTGGAGAAATACACAGCTAAGGAAACCATATTGGACCAGCCACTAGGCGAGTCTAACAAGATTTTAAAGCTGTGAACTAGTAATTGATACAGTACAATAGCTCTTCTATTTTTCGAATAGTCAAGCTAAAAATAGCACAAGAAGAGTGCTGTTTTATGCATTAGACAACTTACTGCGGCAGACTGTAACTGAGCTGCGATGCTTTTCAGTCGACTTGGCTTTAACACAGACCCGTGAATTGCCTTCTGCTTCTTAATTCTATGCCTGAAATATTTTTTTTAAAATATATTTAATGATGCATATCATAATGAGTCGAAGCAATTAACTTCATGTAAAATGATCACTGCTGTTTGACAAAAAAGTACATGACATTTTGCGTCACACCAAAAATGACAGGGACCAAAATGGAAATTTATTTGTCTGTTTATCTAGTTTTTCTGTTGATTTTGATACATTTTTGGTAATATTTTGGCAGCAGATCCACCCAACAGGCTTTCCTAAATAACTAACCAGTGAGAACCAATTTTATCACCAATGACCATTACTTATCCTACGTTATTTCCGAATCAGCGTTGAGAGACATGTTTGATTTTAAATTAAGCCTACCTGTTTTATCATGCACGCCTGGTGTAATAGCTTTGTATTGAATGTAAATGAACAAAACTAAACGAACAAAAATAAATCTATAATATAAACTTATTAACTGATAAAAATCAATCACTTTTCTGAGAAAAAATACACAGTCTGCTAATAATATAAACAATATATGTTTGAAACTTTTCTTTTACAACACTGTCTTGCAAATATTAGCAAGTACAAGAAATTCCAAAATTGTAATTGCATGAACTTGCAATTTTTATTCTGTAAAACACATTTTTTTTCAATTTGGCTGATTTATATATAAAATTAATATACCGGGGTATGCTTAGTGATTTTTCATGAATAAAAAAGACATTTCACAGAAATAAAAAAAAAAATCAATGTCAATTTACCATTACTTACATTTTTTATATAAAAAAATATGAGTTGTAAGAAAAACTACTCACACTTCTATTTATTTATTTACCTTATGTTTAAAGTAATCATGAATGGATGGAAGTGGACCCTTTGTTTTTTATGAATATTAAAAAGCATGCTGCATGACAAGACGTAAAATCAAATACATCAATACCTGTCCCTTTTGTTTGGCTTTTCTAAAATAGCCGAGCTGTCCTGGCTGGACAGAGATGAAGTGTCCTGCGACTGTGAGTCCTTGAACATCTGAATAGACGATGGAATGGAGATAGCATCATCCTCCAAAATGGAAGTCGCCTCATCTTCATTCAGAATACTCTCTAGTGTAGGAGGTGCATCTATCACAGGTAGATCGGACTGAAACTCTGAATCATCAAACTGTAAGAAGATAATTACATGTATATCACATTTAAAGCCTTTAGCAGCAGTTTTCTCCTTTTTATCAGGAAGAGGCCTTAGCCTCTTGAATTTTGGGAAGAAACACACTTTGGGAAAGTAAAACGGGGTGAAAGATTTTTGGGATATCTGCAAAATTTTGAAGAAATTTTATATTGGAAAGAGGCTTTTATAAAGTGAAAAAAAAACCTGTTGGGTGTTATATACATATTAAATGATACATGTACTATAGATGAATTGAGATCATTGACATACCCTTAAAATACAATACTGTGATCAATACAATGTTAAGACATATTGGTATCTAACAATACACTTTTATATTGTTAGGTTAATTGTTCAAACAGCACTCTTCTTTCAGAGAATTGTAACTGATTATCATTTATTACTTTTTGACATAATTCAAGCCAGAGCAATGATGAATAAATACTCATTTTGAGATTTAAAGTTTGTTCTAGTCAAGATCTAGTCACTAAAATGGTAAAACAGAATGATATAAAACAGAACTATAATATTATGGATATTAGCAAAGTAAAAACTTGAGCATTACAAACTGCATTCATATTGACTAAATGTAAGTTACTTTAGTATCACGTTTAAATAGCGTAAAACCTTGAACAACTCTGATTAGTGATTAACAAAAATGATGGACGATACATTGTACATTCTGAATCATTCCGAACACTTGAATGATTATAAGGAACACTTTCAATTCATTTGTATCTAATTAATGCTTCACAATACCTGCAATTACTCATCATTTTTGAAAGATCTGATTTATATATTAAAAAATTTATGCATATTATCAAATAAGGTTTTTCTGTGTCATACTCATGATAGGTATACCTAATTTCATTTTAATAAAATCAGATTGACATTGTCTGTTCTTCATGATTATTTTTATTATGTTAGTTTGTCTGATTTTTGTGCAGATATTATTGATTTCATCATATCATTGATCAAATTCTGGTCTTTTTTGTATCACTTTAATACAGGGAAGTCAATGACCGGGCCTGTAAAGCGGGCCTGGGCTTTGGCTTGCCCAGCTATAGACTACATGATTGTGTATACAATATATTTACAAAATCAAATAAAAAACAATTAAAGTATATATAGAATTCTATACCTATCAATGAAATTTTCAGTGTCAGTTCTAGTTAGGTGCCGCCATTTACAAATTAACACAGGGATAATAGGCTGGGTATACTGATAGGAAGTGGCTAGCCGTACGGCTAGCCAAAAGTTCTAGCCGTACGTGAGTCACGTACGACTAGCCAGGACTCACTGTATTGTCTAGCCGTACGGCACTTTTCAAAATTACCTATATGGAAGTCAAACATGCATATGTTATTTTGTGCCTCATGATTATGATTTGTTGTTTTATTTGTATGAAAGTTGAATTTTTGTGAATTAAGCACATGGATCGAATAAATAATGATCGGAGTCACGGATTTATATTTTATTGTAATATAAATCCGTGTCAGAGTGGAATAAATAAAAAGAATATTGAAAAAAAAAACGGTGAAAGGCATAAATAATTGTATAATTTTCAAATACAGTAGATAAATATCCAACATAAAAGCACAATCAATTAATTAGCCTTAATTAAAGCCTACCCAGGGACTGACAATAGAATTTTAAAATGCGTTTCACCGAACATGCAAACTTTCCTTAGTGATGGACAAACTTCTATACCGTCGGTAATTGACGCAATTATCAGAGCCCAACAACAATAATTTTCGTTTTTTTTTTGTTTTATTTTAAAGGTGTCGAAAATTAAACTTAATGAAACAAAAAAGGATTATCATCAAAATTTTGTAAACTATTTCAATTGATGTTATTTAACTGCGACCAAACGCTATTTTTTCTCAACGTGTTGAGATGACAAAGAAACATATTCGTACTTTTTTCACTGTAGCCAACAAGGCGATTAATCTCTAAAAAGTAAACATACATGTACGAAGACAATTGCTGTTTCTTGGTTAAAATCCTTGTTTAAAGTCATAAAATAACATCATTATGCATTTTATATATATATAATTTTGAAAATGCCGTACGGCTAGCCAATACAGCGTGTCCTTGCTAGTCGTACGTGACTCACGCACGGCTAGAACGGGTAGCCACTTCCATACCGATAATAGAACAAATCTCACCTTTTCGGATTAATAATAATCAGCGAGTGTTCCGAGTGAAAACCGAGGCGGTGCATGAAATACCTAATGACACCTTTGAAACAGAAAATAGAAGAAATTTTTTAACGACTACCCTGTTCAGAGGAATTGCTTAATTTCAAATTATGATTATCATAAACTACCAATTTCAAATGACAGCTGGCTAATACGGGGAAGTCAAAGACCGGGCCCGCGAAGCTGGTCCGGGCTTTGGCTTGCCCGGCTATAGACTACACGTGTATATTTAAAAGAAAATCAAATAAAAAAAAATTAAAAAATATATAGAATTCTATACCTATCAATGAAATTTTCAGTGTCAGTTCTAGTCGGGCGCCGCTATTTACAATGTAAATCAATGATAATAGGCGGGGTATTCCGATAACGGAACAAATCTCAACTTTTCGAATCAATAATAATCGTCGAGTGTTCCGAGTGAAAAAGGAAGCGACGCATGTAATACCGAATGACACCTTTAAAACGGAAAGAATGAAAGGAATTTTTCAACGACTTCCCCGTTCATAGGCTTTGCCTAATTTCATATTAATGATTTCCAACTGTGTTCGTGGCATCCCAAATTTTGTCAAAAAAAGGCATTCATGAAACAACTGACTTCCATAAAAATAACTGATCGGGGTAAGCGTCCATTTCTTATATGTTTTTCATTTATATATTACCGTCCCTCATGAAAGCTTACTTCACAAGATGTCATTATATGGTATTGACGGAAACATTAACTGGTGGCTTCGAGACTTTCTCACCAACAGAACTATGAGAGTAGTGGTAGACGGTGAAGCATCCGAACCAGTCACAGTAGACTCAGGAGTTCCGCAAGGTACTGTCCTCGGACCACTAGCCATCCTCTGCCATATAAGTGACTTACCAGACTGCGTTAAATCAACTGTCCGTCTCTTCGCCGATGACTGTCTCCTATACCGGCAAATTAAAACCAGAAAAGACCATCTCCAACTACAAACAGACCTGAAATCACTGGAAACTTGGGCATCTACTTGGGGTATGAAATTCAATGCCAAACAATGTTATGTTATGAGTATCAACAACAGATCCACTAACTTTTACCAACTAGACAATCATATCGTACAACAAGTTGATGAAAATCCATACCTTGGTGTCACTTTTACAGACAATCTAAAATTTGGAACCCACATCACGAAGATAACCAACAAAGCCAGCTCTACACTCGGATTCCTCAAGAGAAACCTTAAACACTGCCCGCTACTCTGCAGGAAAACAGCTTATTTATCCCTTGTTAGATCCACTCTTGAATACAGCTCAATTGTATGGGACCCATTCCTACAGAATGATATAGACAAGCTTGAGTCGATCCAACGGAAGGCTGCTAGATTTATTTCTTGGGATTACAAATCAAGAGATCAAGGCTGCGTTACCAGGATGTTGAAGCAACTTGAGCTATCTCCATTACAAGACAGAAGGAAAATGGCACGATTGACATTCTTCTTCAAGGTGGCTGAGGGGCTGGTGCCAGCTATGCCCACCGATACCTATCTGACCCCTATTTGTGGTAAACGCCTAATTAAACCTAAGAAACTAGACAATTACATAACTAAAAACATTGTAGAAAACCAAGCTATAAACCATCATAAGTGCTATAAACCTATTATCTCAAAAAGTGACCAATTTGAACATTCATTCTTTCCTAAGACTATTAGTGATTGGAATAACTTAGACAGTGCCGTTGTGTGCGCAGAGACAGTACAGAGCTTTAAAACAGCTCTCCAACAGTGCTACTAAATTACTTAGCTCCTCTCTCCCGCTGCGTACATACCGGAAGGTTCTGCAGTGTATACATTCAGATTCAGATATTCTTTTAAGACGTACCCCACCCACTTTTTTCTACAATAAATTATGAATATAGAAATACACCCACTAAATCTTACAGTAAATTCAACGCTTTAACAAAAGCTTATGTAAATTAAACAAATGCAAATAAATAAACAAGTTATAAACAAAGAAAACCATAAGTGTCATTGAAAAGGAGCGAGAAAGTACCTCAATATCAAAGTTTATTTCCTGTTTGGATGATTCCGCAGTAGCTTCGGAAGCCATCTTTAAAATAATAAAACATTTTTTTTGTAGACGAAATAATTTTAAAATCATCCGACTTTAGAAATATAACATGTTCATATAAAATGTTTATATTACCATATTCAAATAAAAAATATGCGCATTTATGAAAGCTGATATCAATTTAAGCAAAAAAGAGTTATATCATTTTTTTTATTTCGTTTACAAAACAATTTAAAATATAAATTTAACCGGAAGTTTATGCTGTCGGCAGCAACCATAAACATTCGACAGGTGCGCGTTTGTTTTAGTGTTTTTTGACACAAAATTAAATTGTACAAAGGATTCAGTAAGTAAAACAAAGTGATAACATTTTATCGTGAATAAATTTATTATTTGTTACTTAGTGCAATATATTCATACCTTGTTTAATAATCATTTATATTTAAAACAGCTTTTTTTTGCTAAAATAATGCAAGCCTCCAATATGTTTCTAGGTGGGTGGGGTAATGTCATAAAGTTTTTTTTGTTGTTGTTTTTTTCCTTCTGGGTGCATCTGATTGTTTGCTAGTGTCTTATTCCGATTGTTATGTCCTTAGTGTAATGCACTGTCAGTTGGGATTTGTTATGAAAAATAACACATGATTTTCAAGAAGTTTTTCTTTACTTAATTTAGTTAGCTGGAAGTATCGTGATATATTTATTTTCAACTTAAATAAAAATGCTTCTTTAAATTCTTATTAGACATTTTAAGTGATGACATACAATGCAATAGTAATTTTAATGAGCAATTGTTTGTTTTGACTGTTAAAGATTTAAAAGTTATATGACAAGATATTGTTTTGTTGCACAGATCCTAACAAGCTAATTAAAATTGCTTGGACATATATGAATTTCAGGGCTGCTAAGCTTTTAAGCAGTGTATCATAATGGTAATCCTGTTTATTTAAAATCACACATTTCATTTGATAATAAGATGATGTACACTTTTTTTCCTAGAATTTTGGCAAAGGTGATAATTTGGTCCCTTTTTGAGTGGGAATTTTATGTTGCAACTACTTTAATTACTTTAATGGGTATATATATTCAATTTCACCACAGATGAAATTAGATAACCACAAAATAGTTAGCATTTTTATGTTCATTATGTATCAATAAAATACTTGAAGTTCATGTTAAAGGGGTTACATTATGTGTGAAATGAAATGTGTGATATGTATACATGTTGTTTCATGTTCAAAAGTTATATTATTGTCAAGTTTTACCCATTATATCTGTATTGTTGATTTTTATTCTTTATTTTTAAAAATTTCATTTTTTTCTCACAGTTTTTAATTTTAATAAAATTACATTAAATTTAACATGTTAATATTGATTAAACATTTATAATTATTAAGTTTTTCCAACAGAATATCAAAAATGATTAACTAAAATTCATTTCATTTTTCAATTTTAAATAAGTATACATTTACTACTTGTAGTACATGTGATTTTTTGTTTTGTTTTTAATTATTATTTTATTTATTCTGAAATTTTAATTTCATTCATTGGTCTTATCCTGCTTTGCAAAATATTTTTTCTCCCTTAAAGATTCATAATATTTCATTAAATTTTACTTGATTTTGACATTTAAAGCATATGATTTTGTTGCTTAGCTAGTTAAGACTTTATCAACTATGAAATTGGTTTTAAATTAACATTTTTCACAGTTAACTGTTTTACGTTCTTAAGCTAATTCAAGACATCCATTTTTATGGGATTTTATCCAGAATCTTATCGGTTTGCCTTGACCTTTCAATTTTATATCCCAACCTTCCAATTTACTTTAACCTTAATTATATAATCAATTGTCACCAAGTTTAATTCTCGCTGTACTTCAGAGTGAAAAGAAAAAAAGCATGGCTAGAAAAGGGAAGGAAATTCAGTTACAGAGGGAGATAGAAACACAGGAGGAGTGGGAGGATATGCTCTCTAAAGAGGGACTTTGTGGTAAGACAGAATTTGGTAGTTATGTTAAAGGCCCATTATGCCCAAGAAAAGGTTTTATTTTAAAAAGGCTTTTTATAGCTGGTGTTCTGTTATAGTTTCCAAAATGACACTTATATTGAACCAAGGAAAAAAATTGCTTCTGTTGCTTTCTGAGAATCAATACAGTTATATTGATTTAGTATTTTGTACTGAAGTCAAAATACTGCTTTGTTTACCTTTTGCTATTCTTATGATGATTAATTTCACATTGAGGGTTATTTTTTAAGGTAATAAGCATCTAGCATGCTATAAAATTATTATTTTAACATTATAAAACTGATGTTTGCCCTTTCTAAAGAAAGAATCAATAGGGATCAATTAAAGCAGTATTTTGACTTTGTACAAAATACTAAATTACTAAAACTGTATAAATTCATTGAAAGAAACAGAAGCAAAATTTAGTTCAAGTAATTGGCCAATATAAGTGTCACTTTGGAAACTAATTAACAGGACACCAACTATAAAAAGCCTTTGTGAAATAAAAACTTTTCTGGGCATAATGGGCCTTTAATAAATACAGAGGTTGTCAAATTTAAGGAATCTATACAGAATAACATTGGTAATTCCTGAAAAGAAAGTACATTGTATTATTTATAATGTAAAATATCTTTACATTTTGATAATAATTTCACATTTTTGCATTCAGATAGGTCTTTTAAAAGGCCTGATGACAAGAATTGTCATTAAATTGAATAAGTTAATTCATATTATTAACAACATGTAGGCCAAATGTCACAGACCTTTTGTATTATTATATTAATCAAACTTAAAAATACTTGAATGTGATATGTGATAGCATTATAATATTTGCTCTTTTTCAGCTTAAGGTCATCTTTTTAAAAAAAATGCTAGTTTGCAGCTAAAAACAGGGTTGTTGCCATTTTTTTTTTATTATTATCATTATTTATTACATATTTTTTATCATTAATTGGGAAGAGAATTTAACCTCTTGATTTTGGGAAAAAATATTGCTAAAATTGCTAGTTTGGGAATTAAAAATCTAGGGTAAGTTTCGATTTTTGGGAAAACTATGTGATTTAAAAAAAAAAATCAATTGGGAAGAGACCCTTTATAGGTCTCTATTATTTAAGGTGAAAAATCACTGACAGCACAGAGTGATTTGTATTACTGGCCAGTGATATTTCACCTTATATAACCAAAGCCTACAAAATGGCCTAAGGCCTCTTCCCAATTAATATTTTCTTTAGAATCTTGCAGTTTTTCCAAAAATCTGAACTTAATCAGCTTCTTCACTTCCCAAATTAGCAATTTTAGTGATAAATTTTCCCAAAATCAAGAGGCAGCTTTACTTAGCTCGAATCCCAAGTAAGAAAAATCACTGCTCGCACAAAGTGCAGTGAAGAAAGTTTGACATACATCTGCCATCTAATGAAAACCTTGTAAAAAACATTGGAAGATGTTTATGAAAACAATTAGAATTCTTTTTTAAATCATATATATGTTGAAAAGTAGAAGGAAGGGGTAAATGGTGGCATTAATTTTGTAAAATATCTATATATATTTCAGTTTAGAGCTCTTTTGGACAACTTAGTTGTAATTACTTGTAAATAATTAACATTTAATTAATTAAGGATGTCCTAATATATTAATACTTATTCTATTATTTTTATTTTTGTGATTCTGTCCATTTAAACATTTTTCTCCTTATGATAAAGTGATAGATGTGTACCAGGCTTGGTGCGGCTTGTGCTCTGGAATGATAGGCAGTTTTAGAAAATATCGTTTGGACATTGATGATGAGCTACTTTTATTGTATGCAGTAAGTAAGAAAAACCTGGCGCTGTTCAACTCCCGGTTGTGAATGAATGTTTGCATTTTGTGTTATTTTTATTATGAATGGAGGTTTTGTGTGTAATTTATATGTATATTTATATGTATAATTTTCATATACATTTTATTATTGTACTGAAAACTTTATTGATTTGTTTGTTACATGTAATTGCTATATCAAAGGCTTTTAATTTTACAAATTTATAGAAAAAAAAAGCATTTAAGATTGCTTTGCCATAAGTTACAGTAACTGACCAAACGATTTATGAAAATTTTAAAGGTTACATGAGTCAAGATAATTTAAAAAACTGACTCCTGGCTGCAGATGTCCAAAAGCCTTAAAACATAAAATTTGAATTTCTTACTTAAAAATAATAAAATAAAGTGGCTAGAACTTAAAACAAAACAATATATAATAATAAAAGATAATAAAGAAATGTACTTAGAAGTGAATTAAAAGTTACATTGAGCTTGATTTGAGTTAAAATTGTTTTCATTTTTTGGGGGTCATTATTCTCAATAATTAAAATAAGATTTCTGGAAAAATGAACGCTGCAAATGAAATTTGTACACTGGTTCTTTATATATTCCCTACACCTTTTGCTCATCATTACTGATAAATACTTGTAAGATTCAATGGTCTTTGGTATAGCAAATAGTCTTTAATTCAGGTTTATATAACATTTTCATTGTTGTTATGATTTCTTGAATGAATTTATTGTAAAACTGGTGTCACATTTGTTTCTATACATTTTCATAAGTTTTTTTGTGCCAACAACTTCCAGTTGAAATATTACTATTACAAATTATTCAAACAACACCTTTACACTGATGCATTCAGGATGTCAATTTTTACAAAGACGATATTAATTATGATGAGAAATCTTTATAATAAAATAGATGATGAAAATATCATTATCAAAACTTTCATTTAGTCTGTAGACAATAAAATTAATTTATTCAGATGATATATTGATTACATTCATTATAATTAACCCACATTACCTACTGGAATCAAAAGTGATTAAATTTTTGCCGTCCCCCATGAGTAAAGATCCAGGTCAGGGCCTGCACTACCAGGCTATATATGTCTGTCTGACTAAAGGATATGACATCCATACTGTAGGTATCTCAAATTTCTGAATTTTGATATTGAAGTCCCTTTGATTTTTAATGGACTTATTCTAATTTAAGAACAGAGCTATAATAATGGCAAAGCTGTTCCTTAAATTTAGCAGGTTAAATTTTGAATGACAGCTATGATAATGTGTAATAAATAATAAGCTTGCAGGTCACCCAAGAGAGGGTCGGACTCATAAAGCTTCTCTGTGAAACAGACTCTTTAAGTCTGCAGTTAACATTTGGCTGCAGTACTCGGGTATCTAACCCATTAACCTTGCAAAACTTGTATAATTAAATTAATTTATTCAGCATTTGAGTTTTACAACAGTCCATTTTCAGAATGTAAATGTCTTCAAAATCAAAATACAAAAATTGAGCTGCCAAAAGTATAAATCCTTAAGTCAGACTGTAACATTTTGGTGGCAAGATTAAATTGCTTTTTTCGGATTGCCCTTAATTAATGGAAATTTCCTTTTGATAACAAATTAAAAAATTGGATTTTCTAGTATCTCAAATTTCAAAATGCAGAATAAGTTAAGCATAAAATTTCAATACACGCAGTACATGTACATTATTTCTCCTCATAATTATGATCTAAGGGCTTTGTAGAGCACTGATGTACTTTTAAACCTACAAAAAAAACGAAAGTACAACAGAATCAAATGTCAAAGCCTGTGTAAATAATTTGTAATTTTTGTTTTGTTTAATGTTTTGTTGTGTCTTTTTTTTTTCAAGCATGCTGAAAATTTCACAGATTTCCACACAAAGTGCACTGTTATATGACCATGAATTTGTTTCACTTGCATTTTACAGACTGAAACTATGAGTTATATGAGTTAGTTGTGTAGTATTTATTTATAATAATTTGTGCCAAACCATCTTTTCCGAAAGAAAGGGGCGCAAGTTGATTTTGCTATAAATAGGTCTCTGACTCTTTTTTTCGTTGTGAATGATCATGAAATTCTTTCTACTGTCATTTGCACTGTACCTCCATGTTGGCCTTTACAGAAATAATATATCAGTTCCTTGTGATAGTGAATTTTGGCACTTAGTACTGGTAAAACTGCTTGACAGATTGTCCAGGAATGATGCAGTGGCTGAACTGCGTGCTCTGGTGAATTCAAAGTAGCTTTAAGGCCATGATCTAGAGGGTATTTAAACTACAAAAACCATCTAAACCGGAATAATCGCTGCAATATTTCGATGAATAATTTGCATTTTTGAAACAAATATCGGAATACTCTTTTAGTCTTAGTGTCAGCAGGATTTAAACTGTCAAAATGTTTATATATTATAAAAATTGTCTGTCTAAAGATATTTTGTAAAAAAAACAACAAAGAACCATGAAAAACTGAGGCATAATTCAAGTGGTCTACATAAAAACATGCTTAGAAGGATTAGGATGTTCAAAACATTTTATTAAGTGAGAATTTGGAAGACTATTAAAAATATGCCCTATAAAACAAGAAAAGATGGTATGGCTGTAATTGTTATATTGGTATGTATTGATATGGCATGCATTTAATTACAGTATAATTATTATTGGTTGCTTGATGAATTTTGTAAATTTCTTAATTTGGAATGATATATTCTTATAAATTCTTATACTGATGTTAAATATCATTTGTTTCTGTTTCAGAAAGTTTCATTGATTTTCGTTGATTTTGATTTTTTTTTATTATTATTTATATGCTCATTTCAAACCTTTTCAGATCTCAGACACAGCATAATTATTGTTGTTTAATTTAATTTCATTATATTTCAGTATTTAAAAACATTATGATATCATTCCTTCTTTTGGATACAGACCTGATACAGTAACCAAAATCCACACTCTTCCAGGGTTTGTCAAGATCCTTGTTTCCCATATGTACATATTTTCAGAATTCTAAACCTTCCTATTCTGTGGACCCAGACACATTCTCATTTGCTTATTATTGATGAAAAAAATCTATGTCTGTGAATAAAAATGATATCTGTTAGAGAATTTTTACGCAAAGTTAAAATGATATCTGTTTAGTTGCCTCATCGCATGTTTGAAGTGGAACTCTAAATGGCCTACCTTTGATAAAAAAAAAGAATATCATCAGAGAAATGTATATGCATTTTGTTTCAGTGGTAGATGCTTATGCTGAATGGTGTGGACCAACAGCCAGTATAGTTAGTGTATTCAGGAAAATCAAAAATGAACTTGGTGATGACTTATTGAAATTCATCACAGTAAGTCCCGTGTTGATTGGATAATTGCTCATCCATGGGTGGAGTCTTATAACTAGACTACATGTTGATTGGTTAATTGCTTATCTATGGGTGGAGTTTTGAAACTCAGTGTGCATGTTTATTGGCTAACAATAAGTATTTGTTAAAGCCTGGCATGTTGTAAGTGCATTGATTGATTGTTTGATCATTTGAAGGAGGAGCCTAAATTTTAATGAGCTTTGATTGGCTTAGAGTTAAAAATTATATGTGGGCTGCCTCTTTTGAATTAGTTTTGTCAAACAAGATAATGTTATGATATATATATTTTATATAAATAATATTTAGTCTGACTAATCACATTAACTATTTATTGTTAAACTATTAACAATAATTGTTAACAACTATACATTTTCTAACACAACTTTCCTTTCTAAATTTCTAGGCAATTACCACCGATAATAATTTACATATTAAATATCTAAGACTTCCTTTGCTGCAGATTTCTTCTTCCTAGGGTCTTTTTTCTCTTAATTATTAAAAGTTACACCCTTAAATTTTTATTTTTTTTATGTAAAAGCTATTTATTACCCCATTAATTAAGGTTAACTACAAGCTAATCATTGCAATAAAGCTCAGAAAATTACTCTTTTTTTCTTTTTCATTTTTTTTTCATTTTAGTTATAATTATAGTTATTGTTACACGAGGCCAAAGATCATATTCTATGTTCCATCGGAAAAGGTTCATCCGTTAAAATAAATCTCATCTATTTAGACTTATTTTAAGATTTGCATTATACAATTGTAGTAAATTTACATTATGTTGTTTAGGACCCTAATCAACCAGAAAACAGAGATAGAACAAAATGATAGGAAAAAGTCTTTGCTTTTTCCAGTGCTTGTGTGAGCTATTCTTTCATTATTTGTAGGACTCTACATGTGGAAAACTGTATTTTCTTTTTTTCTTTTTTGGAATTATTCAAATCATTATCTTGATTTGGATATTCTTTGCTATTACTTTTCAGAGTTATGGGCCTTAAATAAACCACACAAGCTGATTTATGGGCCTTTAATAAACATACAACCTTAGATGCATGTCAGTTACAGTGTTTGAACACTGTATTTACTACTATTTCAGTTCCAGACTGGACTGCCTTTTTTTGGCTCTTTCTTTCTTCAAATTGGCAGACTGCTTCACTTTATTTTACATTTTACTGTGGACTGGTTCCGTGTTTTGAGCTCTTGTTTGACAATTTCAGTTGTGGACTGCTTCTCTATCTGGTGCGGTCCATGTATTTCCATGCTAGGAGTATTTAAGAAAATCAATAACGAAATAGGAGATCCTCTCCTTAAGTTTATTATTGTAAGTGGAACACTCTACAGGTTTAAGGAAAGGCTGTTGTAACTCGATTGGTTTGTCAATCAGGTTACAGTAGTGCTTCTGGAACTTTCACCTTGCTTCTTGAATTTGATTCAATTTGTTTGATGTTTAAGAGTGACTAACTTTCTGCAAGAATACTAATTCTCCATAAAAGGGGTATTAGTGAAAAATGGACTATAGGACAGTTTGGTTTTTCTTGCTTTTAGCTATTGTTTTTTTTTTTACCAAAGTGTTCTATAGTACAATAGTCTTGACTGAAAGATTTTAAGATAAAGTTGGATACTATTTTTGTAATTAATTCTTATTAATTTAAATTTAAACCAAGTTTTAAATTTTGGGGTCAAATTTTTAATTATAATGTTGTTTAATCTATTACTATAGATTTGGGAGTCTTTATGTGCATGACCAAGTCTAACGGGCTTTTAGCTTGTTTGTCTTTTTCAGCTTATGCTTTGTACATTTTCAGGTGGAAAAAAAATCAATTAATCTCTTACAGAGTTCTAATTGGCTGCTGTTGTTTCAGTAGGCGGAGTTAGTTGTTTTGATTGACAGCTTTTATGCATGGTGGAAAACTTTGAAAGTTTTTAAGTTTAACTTAAATTACTGAATGGTCCAATTTTTTTCACAGTGATTGATGCTTACCAAGAGTGGTGTGGTCCTGTAAGCGCTATGCTAGGAACCTTCAGGAGAGTTAAAAATGAATTAGGGGATGATCTTCTTAAATTTGTTATTGTAAGTCAAGCACAACTTTTCCTTCAGTGGGATGAACCTGCTGACTCTAATAAATGCACTGATTGGTTAATATTTTTTTATCCAGTGGGAAGAGCCTACTGGTTCTAACATATGCACTGATTGGCTAATTTTCCCTTCAGTGGGATGAACCTGCTGGCTCTAATAAATGCACTGATTGGTTGATATTTTTAGTCAGTGGGAAGAGCCTACTGGCTCTAACTTTTTATGCACTTATTGGCTAATTTTTCCGTCAGTGGGTTGGACCTGCTGGTTCTAATATTATTTTTTTCTCCTTACACCACTTGCTTAATTGTTTTCCTCTTTAATCACAGTATGGAATGGGCAGAATTTGATCTTTTATAATAATACTAACTGCAGGAATGGAAATGAAACCATTTGCTTTGATAGAAAATAGGTTGATTAAGTTAATTTATAACACACCCGTGCCGAAATTGCGACTCCGTAAAAATGGTATTGCACGGCCGTGCATATATTTTGACGTGACATCATAAGCGTTATACAAACATAGTGTAAAGACGCGCTAAATGTTAGCGTTATACTATAGGCACGTCAATGAAAAATGACACTTATTTTACTTTAAACGGTCTTTATTTTGGGTATGTGATAAATAGAATATTAAATTCGTGTAAGTTCATTACTGAATTTATTGCACTCGTTGAATAAAATAATGTTATGCTCGCCAGAGGCTCGCATAATATAACTTTATTCAACTCGTGCAATAAATTCAGTATTGAACTTACACTAATTCAATATCCTCTATATGTACAACTTGTTGCTGTCTAACTTGGTTATTGTTTACTAACACATGTTACCTCTGTTTGTATGGTGTTTTGAATAACAAAACTTATATTTTAAAGCTTTATTTTTTTTTACAGCTGTTCTTATTTATTTCAGAACTTCTAAGGATATTTTATATGCACTCAGACTCCATCACTTGGTCTCACACAATACATAAACAAAGATTGTTCACCTTTGTTCACCTTTGACCTTTTTGCTGTGTCTTTGACCTTTGCTGTGCTGTTATTTTTTTCAGTGGTGGATGCATATCAGGAATGGGCTGGCCCAGTTACTCCATTAGTTCCAAATTTACGCCGACTTAAAAATGAACTTGGCGATGATTTATTAAAATTCTTTGTCGTAAGTTAAGAGTAGAACAAAAATTAGATTGCACAACAGTACCTTTTAAATATTTTATCCAAGATGTAGATCTCTATCATCTGTATGTAGGTAGGCACCCTGGTGACGGAATTTATATCTATTCACATCTGCATGTCTCGTCTCTTGAAACGGAAATTTTAGAATTTCATGCTACTTTCTATGAAATATTTTCTCAAGTAGCAATTAGAACTATACTTTATGCTTAGACTACAGCCTTCACGTTATGAAGAAAAATGTTAATTATTAAGTTAGGAAATGCAAATGATATTAATTATTAAGTTAGGAAATGCAAATGATATATTTGTTGATATTTTTCTATTTAGATTAGAAAATTTGGTTACACTTCATGCAATGTGCAGCAATGCTTTCATTAGATTTTGGGAGGGTTTCAAAACATGTTGAAGTTGTTAAGAGGCTAGAGTAAAATGTGCCCATTCTTTCTTAGGCTAGTTACTCCATTACTTTCCCTCAGCTAGAGTTACGTTTTTTTCTTTTTTGGCTTTTTGTTTCTTTTCTTTTGTCCTTTTTTCCCTCTTTAACAGCTAGTATATTAGAACTGGTAAGCTTTTTTCAATATTAACATTCAAACTTGATAATGATGATGATGAATTTGATGATGATGATGATCATGTTGATCATGATGATGAAATAAAAATGATTATGATTATTATTATTATTATTATTATGATGCAAAAATAGGAAACAATAATTTTTATAATGATGAATATTAAAAGGAGGATAATATAAATGATGATGATAATAATGATGATGATGATGATAATTATTATAGTGATTCAAAAATGGAAAAAAAAATCATTAAGATAAGAATGATCATCGATGAACATGACAAGTTATATTATTAGAGTTGTGCTGAGATCTTTTAGTACATTTTTACTTCAAAGATATTACATGTATTGCATAATGCTTAATTTCCCTGAGTAACCTATCTTTATTAACAAATCTTCTGCTCCTTTATTATATATCATGCATTGCTTTTGCATATCACTTTGATTTCCCTGTTCTTTTTTTAGCAAGCTTTAATTAGGGTCATTATATATCATGTATATGTTATTTAATGAGACTATTATACTCAATGTTACTAAATTTTTAAGAGTACTACTGTGAATTCACCTTATTTCGTGGATATAAAGTTTCATGGTTTTGTCACAAAAGACATTTTCGTGGCTTCTTATATTCGTGGATTGTCTATTTTTTTAAAGAATTAAATGCAAATAATGTAATGTTTTTACAGCCTACGAATTATCATATTTGTTGGATCTATAATTTATTATTCATGATTGACCTACCCACGAAAAACACAAAAATTCGTGCCTCACAAATAATAATAATAGTAGTATTGGGTGAATAATGAGTATTGGGTGGATAAAGATTATTACAATAAAATGTTATGGTGATAACCATTCAAGGTTTTAATTATATTTTATATGATAATCTCTCCTAACTTTATTATATATAATATGAATTTCTGTAAAATTTTAATGTTTTTGGTGAAATGTCTTAACATTTATAAGCCTTAAAGAAATTTAACATTTGTATTTATATGATTTACAGGTAAAAATTATGATAATATTTTAATAGAAATTCACATAAAGATAATGATTTATGAAATAATTTTATATGCTTTATGTTTTTAATTAAATTGATTGTTAAATTTCTGTAATACTGGCATAATGTACATGTATTTAAAATAGAATGATATTTATTAATAATTATCTGTAATTAACTGTTCTTATCTAAAATAGACAATCCGGAATTAAGAATATTTTGGGTTTTTCCCAGCTTATTCGTAGGTATACTTTATACAAACAAACTTTTACTGTTACAGCTTCCAAAATAAGTGCATTAGGATGACTAATCTATTGTGACTCACTGACTGGTATTATAGTGAACCACAGAGCTAGAACAGTAAAAGTAAAACTGGTTGTACCTACGGATAAACTGGGAAAAACCCACATTTGCCGAGTTCCATTTAACATATATTATCATAGTTACTATTATACGTACAGGCTAAGGCAGATACTATAGATGCTCTAGAGAAGTATAGAGGGCGCTGTGAACCATGCTTCCTGTTCTATGCTGTAAGTAATTGTTTTGGGTTTTCTAAATTTATTAGAAATACAGGACATTACCCGTACATAGTTTCCCTATGACAAGACCAATTACAGTATATGAGATCTTCGCCAAATTAAATTTTAACCTACAATTAAAGCTGCATGTGTCAATACGTCAGCCAAAATATTTCAAGAAAATCAAACTTGAGAAAATTGTATGGATATTTGAAGCAAAAGTAAAAAAGATTCAAGATAAAAGTATTAATATCCATGTTATATGCAATGACCGATTTTGCAGTATTTAATTTTCACCATATTTTTACTGTGTAATATAATTATGTTTGGAAAAACAATTTATTTCTGTAAGGCCTTAAGGGTTTCATTTTTCAGAATTGGTGGGGTTTTTTTTAAACATCAAGACTAAAAAGTGTTGGAGCACCATACTAAATACTGTATTCCTGTATATACTGGAGTTTCATTTTTCAGAATTGTTCTTTGTTTTTACAGGGTGGTGTCTTGGTGGCGGTCGTGCGCGGGGCAAATGCTCCTTTGATTCTCAGAACCATTACAGAACAGTTGGCACAGGAGCATAAGGTTCTTGATGGACAGGCGGAAAGGAAGGAGGTAGAGTGTTTGTTACATGTCTCTCATTTTACTTACTTTATTTTTTTAAAAACATTTTTATTAAAGTTTGATTTGAAACAAGTTCTTGCAACTGATATTAATCACTTTTGAGTTCAATACCTGAAACCATCCAGTACTGGTGTAATATGAAGAAACATGGTCGTGACCTGGTTAGGGTTCAAACCCATGATCTCTGGGTTATAAGGCAGACACCTTAACCACTAGGCCACAGGTCCTCTTTAATTTTTTTCGTAATGAAGAAAAATTTCTTACATATTATGTAAAATGATCTCGAGCAGCCATTGACTTAGATAACTTATAAAATAATTTCACACATGTACATGAAGAACTTGTTCTAAATAGAAGACGTAAATCTTTTTGCACTAGTCAATTGTAATGTAGGGTTGCACCCTGTGGAAAAACTGAAACTTTTAACATTGGATTTACAAACCCCTGGCTCTTTTTCTGGTCCTTTTGGGGCCAATATATGGTAAAATCCCTTTCTGAATTCCTTCTCACTGTAAGTTTGATAAAACCATGCTTTTTTCTTGCAAAAACCTATCTTTGCTTTCACTCACATGTTAGGGGGAAGAAAAAATTGCTTAATTGTATATTATATAATTTTCAAAGTTGGACCACGGTAGCATCAACTGCATGTAGGCTTCAAAATTTAAAACCCTTATCATCATAAAAAAAATCTATATCAAAGGTTTTAGATGAAATGCAGACCCTTTAAATTATTATTATTATTATTGATATTATTATTATTATTATTATTATTTTAATTATGTAGGGAAGAATATTTTTTTCTTTAGATCAAGGACACTGTAATAGCTCAGTTAGAAGAGAGAGACAAACAGATGGAAGACGAAGAAGAAGAAGTAGAAGGTATTTATATATTTGTTTTTTTCTCTCACTAATACATATACTTGTTTCATTTTTTTTTGGGAAAGAAAAGCATGGAAGGAAGCAATATAGATCAGCAATAGTTTATTATTGATATTTTTTTTTTTTTGGTTTGGGGGGTGGGGGGGCTGATGGGATTGTTTTGGGGTTGTGTTGTTTTTATGCCACCGCAGCATCTGCGATGCGGTGGCATATAGCGATTCACCTGTGTGTGTGTGTGTGTGTTTGTGTGTGTGTTATATAGATTATATAGTGAACTTAAAAAATCTTCTTGTGAAAAACCACTAGTCCAATTTCAACCAAACTTGGCAGGATTGTTCCTTGGGTGAAGGGCTTCCAAAGTTGTTCAAAGAATTTCATTCCATGCAGAAATCTGGTTGCCATGGCAACCAAAAGGAATTATAAGAATAAATTTAAAAAATCTACTTGTAAAGACCCAAAAGGCCTAGAGCTTAGATATTTTGCATAAGGCATTGTCTGATAGACCTCTAACAAGATTGTTCAAATTATAGCCCTGGGGTCAAAATTGGCCCCGCCCCGGGGGTCATTGATTTTCACTATGTACATATAGTAAAAACTTGAAATACCTTCTTATAGAAACCCAAAAGGCTTAGAGCTTAGATATTTTGCATAAGGCATCATCTGGTAGACCCTTACCACGATTGTTCAAATTATAGCCCTTGGGTCAAAATCGGCCCCGCCCCGGGGTCATTGATTTTCGCTATATGTACATATAGTAAAAACTTAAAACACCTTCTTGTAAAGACCCAAAAGGCCTAGAGCTTAGATATTTTGCATAAGGCATTGTCTGGTAGACCTTTACCCAGATTGTTCAAATTATAGCCCTGGGGTCAAAACCGGCCTGCCCCAGGGGTCATTGGTTTTCCTTATATGTATATAGTAAAAACTTAAAAAAAATTCTTCTAGCAATTGACAAATGCTAGAAGTTAGATATTTTGCATGAAACATTGTGTTGTAAAACTCAAGCAAGATTGTTCAAAATATAGCCCTGGGGTCAAAATTGCCCCCGCCCTGGGGGTCATTGATTTCAATATATACATATAGTAAAAAATAAAAAAATCTTATTGTCTGAAGGTACAAGGCTTACAGCTTTAATATTTGTTAAATAATATCATCTAAAGGTACTCTACCAAAGTTGTTCAAATTTTGCCATAGCCCTTGGGTCAAAATCGGCCCGCCCCGGGGTCATTGATTTTCGCTATATGTACATATAGTAAAAACTTAAACACCTTCTTGTAAAGACCCAAAAGGCCTAGAGCTTAGATATTTTGCATAAGGCATTGTCTGGTAGACCTCTACCCAGATTGTTCAAATTATAGCCCTGGGGTCAAAATTGGCCCGCCCCAGGGGTCATTGGTTTTCCTTATATGTATATAGTAAAAACTTTAAAAAAATTATTCTAGCAATTGACAGATGCTAGAAGTTAGATATTTTGCATAAAAACATTGTGTTGTAAAACTCTAGCAAGATTGTTCAAATTATAGCCCTGGGGTCAAAATTGCCCCCGCCCTGGGGGTCATTGATTTCAATATATACATATAGTAAAAAAACAAAAAAATCTTATTGTCTGAAGGTACAAGGCTTAGAGCTTTAATATTTGTTAAATAATATCATCTAAAGGTACTCTACCAAAGTTGTTCAAATTATGCCTCTTGTGTCAAAATTAGCCCCGCCCCTGGGAGCCAGAGGTTTTTCTCATATGTATATAGTTAGAACTTAAAAAAATCATCTTCTCTAAATTAACAAAGGATAGAGTTAAGATATTTTGCATGAAACATTGTGTAGTGAACCTCTAGCAAGATTGTTCAAATTATAGCCCTGGGGTCAAAATTGGTTCCGCCCCGGGGGTCATTGATTTTCATAATGTACATATAGTGAAAAAAAATTGTCTGAAGGTTCAAGGCATAGAGCTTTGATGTTTGATATATAATATCATCTATAGGTCCTCTACCAAAGTTGTTCAAATGTCAAAAATTGGCCCTGCCCGGGGGCAGTGATTCTCATTATGTACACGTAGTAAAAACAGAAAATAAAACAAATGTTTTCTGAATGGGAGAAAGCTATAGCTTAGATATTTGACGTGAAATGTTGAGTGGTGGACCTGTATCAAGATTGTTATTAAACCCTTGGGTCAAAATTATGCCTTGCCCAAGGGGACAGTGACCTACTTTCTTGTCCTTTGATGTACAGCAATGACATTTTGACCATGTGCACAGTTTTAGTTGTAAAATTTAACTTTGACCTAGATTTTGATGATATGACCTACTTTCTTGTCCTTTGATGTACAGCTATGAAATTTGAACCATGCGGTGGCATAGCATTTTTCTCAAATGCAATCTTGTTTTTGTTTTTTTTTTTGGGGGGGGGGGTGTCTTTTCACAAAGATAGGGTTTTTTTTGCATTTGTAAAAAAAATACTAAAGAATTTTTAGATTTCAGGAAAAAAAAATGAAAATATAACTTTTTTGCTTTTTTTGTTTGTATTCTTTTTATCAAAGTGTAATTTCTTTTTCTTCAAAAACTTTATAGGCTAGAAGCTAGAAATGTCTTGTTAGCTTAAAGACTTGTTCAATATGTAGAATAGAAGTTTTAGACAAAAAAATCAATATGTTTGGTAGCTTTTCAGCTGGCCAAAAATTATGAGTGTGATGACTGCTCTGGGGCCTATTTTAAGCCTGAAACAATGCTTAAAGGGGAATCTGAGGTCATCTTTGAACCGGTTTTAAGCTGTACAGTCCCCTTATGGCTTTCCAAGTATCGGCCTGACTTAAAAACCTTAACAATTATAACATACAACAGAAGTACTTGTTTAAGACCTAAGGAGAATGTTTCCGTAGGATTAGGCATGCACTTGTTACTTATGCAAGAAGTCTTTATCAGGCTATATTACTGTTATTTGCTTAAACTTTAACTTTTCAAAACTACTCTGAAATTACCCTCTAACGTAACAATGGACAGTTTCAAAATTAAAAGCAGGAAAAGTCCATTATAAAAATTTAGTTGTGTTAAAGTTCAATTTATTTGGTCACATTTTAATACCCCTGATTTAAACATTTTTGGTTGAACTGAGGTGACATCTACCTGTATTAAAACACCTGAAAAATTGATGTTGTTTTTAAAGAAATTGACTTTTATAGTTGTCCATTATTATTATTTTGTCAAGTGATAAAACAGTATTTTCAGCTAAAAATCAAAATTGTTTAATTTAATTCAGAGCAAATTATAAGTAACAAATTTCTAAAAAAAAACAACATTTTTGTCACCTTTTGGTAAAAATGTTGCAAAGGAATTGAAATCTCTGTTCAAATAAATTGATTGATTATAATTTGTAAAGCAAAACCAAAGGGCCCAGCAGGTAGAGGTAAAGAAGTTGTTGAAATGAATGTTACTGTTTTAACTAACGTAAATGTGGATTTGAATTTATCAGAGAATTATAAAGAAGATGGCATTAAGATTGATGTGATTTTGTTGTTGTTTTTTTTTGTGTTTTGATCTATATACTTTGTTACAGATAATCTAAATAACATGATATATGTATGACTTTTTTGTGTGCTTTTATTTGAAACAAAAACTATGTTTTGTTGCTTTTTTGGTGAAATAACTATAAATAATATCTAAGGTTTTAAATGTTTGAGATCATTTGTGTGTTTTTTGCAACTATAATGACCTAGGCTTTAATGGGAAAGTTTTCTTTTTTTTTCAGTACATTTTGCTGAGAATGTGTTGCAATTTTTTTTTAAATAGCTTTGTTTTAACAACTGGGTTTGGCTAATAGTTAAATTTCAGTAAATTTTATTTTTGGAATAAGAACTTTATGATGAAATTTGCATATAGTTTGAAACAGTAACCTGACCATGGCAAATTTAAGTGTTTAAGGCCCATATCTTATTTCATATGATATTTACAGTGCCCCATTCTCTAACAGTGCTGTTATTGTTTTCCAGCAAAATTTTCAGCATTGAACATGAAGTTTTAATTTTATGATCAAAATTAGAGAAAAAAAGCAAAACATGATAATTATAAAGCTTTTATCAACATTTTTTTTTTTTTTTTTTCATAAAATCATATCTTCTTCAAGAAATGTTAGCTTTTTGTATTGGAATTTACAATTTAAGATATCAAAATGAGGTTGAAAAGGAAATAATTAAAAAAAAAAATTTTATATTTTGATATTTGATTATTATAAATAGAGCGTGATTTTCTTTTTACAAGAGTTAGTGTGGTTGGTTGTTGTTTGTTTATTTTTTTACAGGGAAGATTACATTGAGATCCCATTATGCCCTTAGAATTGCTTATAAATATTTTTATGTCTCTAAAGCTTTTTGAAGATTTAATTAAAGGCCCATTATGCCCCCAGAAATGCTTATAACTATTTTTATGTCTCGAAAGCTTTCTATTTTTAGTGCCCTGTTTGAGTTTCCAAAGAATTACTTATTTGCCAAATACCTGAGCGAACTTTTGCTTCTGTTGCCTTTTGGCAGTCATTGTATGCACTTTTTTTGACAAATAATGTCACATTCAGCGCTAAATTAAATTTATACTGCTTTTAACAGTTATAAAACTTTTTTAGTCACAAAAACACTATATCATGGAACTGCAGGCAAAAAAATCATTTTTATTGATTTTCTTTTTCTTTTCTCGCTCATTTTTTCCAGCCATGAGAATGCAATTTCAGGGAGAAATCATTGACTTTGGTGATGAGATAGATCATGATGAATCAGGTTAAATTGTTGTACATTGAAATAAGCACTGCTCCCCTTGTAACCATAGTAATTATATTATTCTGTTGTATTCCCAGTCAGAAAATTAATTTTAGTTTGGTACATTAATTTTTTTAAGCTTGACTATTCAAGGAATAAGGAGAGCTATTGACATTGACGTCGGTGTCAGCATTGGTGTCGACGTCACACTTTGGTTAAGTTTTTTTGCGTGCAAATTAAGTACATGTGTATCTCCAAAGCCACTGAATAGAATGGTGTGAAACTTTACACACTTATTTGAGAGCATAATAGGAGGTCACTGTCCAAGGCCCATAACTCTAACATAATGGCCTCTTTTTGAACTTAGAAAATTCTACATTATCCAGGCTCTTGTTTTACTTATAATCAAGCACTGAGAATTATAAGTCAAGCATGCAGTCCTACTGACAGCTCTTGTTAAGATAAACAAATGTAAAAACAGTTGTTTATAGTATATGTATGATGAATATAACATATTTTTTGGTTATTTGTTGCTTTATATTTTGTTAATTTTTTTTTTTTTTGCTTTGAAGTTTTGTCTTTAAAAATAACAAAATAAATTACCCAATTAAATAGCATATTTTTTGTCTTTCATCTGTATCAAGAGTTGAAATAAAACATATGGGCTGTTTGAAATCATTTCATTCAAGTCACTTTTTATTGTTGTATGCTAAAACTTTTGATTGACTTACATCCTGCATGCGATGCATTGAGGTACATTATAAGTGATATGGACTGCTTTGATTAAAATAAAAAATTTAGCTTAGCTGGAGTTTCAGGTTGTTTTCTATGGGGAGTGACATGAGCAAAAATTTTGATAACTTTCACTAGTTATTACATGATCTTCAATTTTTTTTATCACATTGTGCTAAAAAGCAAGAACTTGCCGAAAAACAGCAAAATTAGCCGAAGTGCATATTGAAAACTATGCCCTGTATGATGTTAAATATATATTGTCACCTTAGTGCAGTAACTGGTTAACTCCTTATATAATTTAATAGGAGTTAACCTGTTACTGCACTAAGGTGACAAATTATTATATAATCCGTATTATAATACAGTTATTATTGTTTTGTTATTCAATTCTGTATTTTAGTTAGTGCCGAGTAATTGCTTTGTACTTATATAGATATTTATAATAATATATATTTATCACATAAACAACAGCACGTTGAAGTGTAAAAAAGCTTTTTAATAAATGCAACACAATTACTCTAATGTTTAACATTGAAAATTGGACATCAAATATAATTATATATACAAGCATTAAAGCACGCTAATGTTAACATAACACTATAGGCGCATCAATAAAAAATGAATTTTCAATATAATTTTTAACTGTAAACCGTTCTTTTTTTAGATATGTGATAAATATAATATTATAATTGTGTAGATGCAATACTAAATTTATTGAACTTCTTGAATAAAACTATATACAATGTATTGCTTGCCAGAGAATCAATCTCTAAAATTTGATTTTTATACGCCCGTTTGAAAAACGGGACGTATTATGGGAACGCCCCTGGCGGGCGGGGCGGGCGGTCGGGCGGGCGGGCGGGCGGCGTCCAATTTTGTCCGGAGCATATCTCCTACATGTATGGAGGGATTTTAATGAAACTTCATATAAATGTTCACCACTATGAGGAGCAGTGTCGCGCACATGAACCAGGTCTCTAGGTCAAAGGTCAAGGTCACACTTAGAGGTCATTGAAAAATGCTTGTCCGGAGCAAAACTTCCACATGTATAGAGGGATTTCAATATTACTTGGCACAAATGTTCACCATTGTGAGGCGGAGTGTCGCGTGCAAGATTCAGGTCCTTGCGGCCAAGGTCAAGGTCACACATAGAGGTCAAAGTTCAGATAAAAATATGAAGATGTCTATATGGACCATTTAGTCATCATTAATTGAGGGATTGTAACACAAATGGTCATTATCAAGACTATGGCTGTGATACATATAATTTAGGTCAATATATACAAGGTCAAGGTCACTAAAGATGATGAAATATCCAGATTTTGTAAATAGAATTTAATCAAAGGGAGACAACAAAGTTATTACTTTGTTCATAAATGACTTACACAATTACTCCCCTTGATCTAAAAATAGAATTTAATCAAAGGGCATGAAATAATCCTCTTTCTTGGACTTGAGTATGTTGTAAAGAATGTAACATTTATTTACACATGTTTCATTCATTGGTCAAGATTCTTAACTGTGATAACTATGGTGTTCTGTAGACTTGGTATTTGTTCATAAAGATCATACAGTAATTACCTTATCAAATGTAAATACTTTCTCATAGAAATTTAATTATATTTTAATTTTCAAGTAAATATCAGTTCAGCTCATTCAAAGATTAAGAATTGTAATGAAATGTATTTCCCTAGAATAAAATCTTAAATCAGAATTTTTTAGTTATTAAATTACATGTACTTTTTATACGCCCGTTTAAAAAAAGATAAAAATATGAAGATGTGTATAGGGACGATTTAATCATCATTTATTGAGGGATTGTTAACACAAATGGTCATTATAATGACTACGGCTGTGACACATGTACTTTAGGTCAATATATGCAAGGTCAAGGTCACTAAAGATGGTGAAATATCCAGATTTTGTCTGGAGCATATCTCATACATGTATGGAAGAATTTTTATAATACTTTATGGAAATGTTCACCACCATGATATGTATTGCTCCATGCATGATCCAGGTCTCCAGGTCAAAGGTCAAGGTCACACTTAGAACTCATTGAAAAACGCTTGTCCGGAGCAAAACTTCTACATTCATAGGGGGTTTTCAATATAACTTGGCACAAATGTTCACCATTGTGAGGCTGAGTGTCGCATGCAAAATTCAGATCCCTGCGACCAAAGTCAAGGTTACACTTAGAGGTCAAAGTTCAGATAAAAATTTGAAGATGGTTATAGGGACCATTGAGTCATCATTTATTGATGGATTGTAGCACAAATGGTAACTATCATGACTACAGGTGTTACACATTTAATTTAGGTTAATATTTGCAAGGTCAAGGTCACTGGAGATGATTAAATATCCAGATGTTGTCCGGAGCATATTTTCTACATGCATGGAGGAATTTTAATGTTACTTTTATAGAATTGTTCACCACCATGAGACGTAGTGCCCTGCACATAAACCAAGTCTCTAGGTCAAAGGTGAAGGTCACAGTTAGAGCTCATAGAAAAACACTTGTCTGGAGCAAAACTTCTACATGCATAGAGGGATTTCAATATAATTTGGCACAAATGTTCATCATTGTGAGGCTGAGTGCCGTGCATAAAATTCAGGTCCCTGCAACCAAGGTCAAGGTCACACATTCTGTGCATATCTTCCCTATTGATTTGTTTTAAGGTTCATTTAACAACACAGTGCCAAGAATAAAAACTTGCTTGCTAGATAACACTTATCCATAATGCCCCCATCTCCATCTAAAGCTTTTTCGTAAACGGGCGTATTTTGTGACTATGGCACCCTTGTTTTTTTTCAAATCGCTCAATAGATTTTGTATTTTATCTACACTCATTCAAATATCCTCTATGTATGGTATAATCAAAGTATTGTGCTTGTACTGGCTTTTGCTGCAAATGTTTGCGTGTACTTATTAATATATAGTGAAGAGTTATAGAAAAAAAACCTTACAACCATTAGACGTAACCTGGTTGTAACCTCACTTATAGTTAAGGTAGTCTTATAGTAGTCTGTATATTGCTTTCCCGCCAAAAATAATCTTACATTGGCCAATATTGTAATAAATCGGTCATTTCGAGAACATAATTATTTACGATGTTCGGTATTCAATAACTTTTAATCGTTCCAAACCAGAATTTAGTACATAGCCATAAAGGATTAGTGATTGTGAATTCCCAAGATTTTGAAAAAATAAAAAATAATATTTAGGAAATAACCAATTTGCTACGAGATTGGTTGCAGATGTTACATTTTTTTTGGCAAGAAAGCATTAGAGTCAGACTTCCTTTAAAGTTAAAAAGAGGGTGCATCCACTTTTTTTGCTCTCGCAACTTCTTGTTGCAGGAAAAATGTCATTATTGTCAAAAAATCAACATTGCAGTATGATCCTTTAATGTTACTTATGATTTTAATTGTTCCAAAATCAAAGCTGTTAAAAGTCCGTTATAATATTCTTTATAATATATTAATCCTGTAGTGAATTTGAAATAATGGTAACCCATTTATATTTCAAGGACATCATCATCATTAAATTCTTAAATTATAGGCCATTCAGATTTCAACATTACAAAATTTAATGAAAAAGTTAACAGATTTTAGATTAATGCTATTGTTCTTATAATTCTAAGAATGCTGTTTTTTATGTGTAGTATGTTACAGGGAAGTTGCTTGCCACTTGTGGAGCAGGTTGGGTAGCAAGTGGCTCTGGCACACAAGATTGTTGTTAAACTATTTGCTATGACTGAGTGACACTCCCTCCAGGTTAATTTTAATCAGCACGCCAATACATCGTGTAACTGCAGTTATAACTGAGAATGATATTTTCCCCAGAACAAAAATAATTGCTGATTCAATTAGACAAAAAGAGAATATTTTAATTCAACCAAACCACATTCATGAAATAATATCATCAAGGGGGAAAAATATTGTCTTTTTATTAAGATGATAATGAAATAAAAACCTGACATAATGATAGTTTTGTGCATTGAATTGCATTATAAACACACAAAAAACAACACTTTGCTTTTTTTAAATGCTTTTTCAAAGTCATTATCTGAAAGACTATAATTTCAAAATGTTTGTTTGCACTTAATATAACCTTTTTTATTAATTTATTTTACCTTCATAATAAGATGGTAAATTTTTGCCTGTTTACTTCATTGTTATATGATAAGGGGATTGTTTTGCCTTTTTACACTCAAACAAAAATTGCCTGTTTACATATTAAAAGATAAGATAAAAAATATTTATTGATTTTAGATTTCAACTGATAATTTTGTTGTTCTTTTTTTTTTAAATGACCAAAAATATTTTTTATTCTGTTTTTTTTGGGCATATCTTACTCAACTGTTTACCAATAAATGTAATATGTATTTTTCTTTTGCAACATTTAGAACATTTATATGCCTGTTTTCTTTTTTACATATATTGTCTTGGCTGTTTAAATACTAAAAGATAAGATATTTCTCATGGTTCCTGTTTACATTTTTATTTTGCTGCAAAAACAAGTAACTTAGATTTGCCTGTTTACAGAATCTCATTTCTCATTTTTCCCGTTTACATACCAAATCATATTTGTACATGTTATTTCATGGCAAGAATAACACTTTGATTTGCCTGTTTACACAATCTCATTTTTCCTGTTTACATATCAATTTTTATTTGTAATTTTACAGCAAAAAATAATAATACTTTAATTTGCCTGTTGACACAATCTCATTTGATATTTTATCTGTTACATATCAAATTATTTGTACTTGTTATTCCATAGCAAAAATAATGCTTTGATTTGCCTGTTTACACAATCTCATTTCTTATTTTTCCTGTTTACATATCAATTTATTTGTAATTTTACAGCAAATATAATGCTTTAATTTGCCTGTTTACACAATCTCATTTCTCATATTTCCTGTTTACATATCAAATTATTTGGACTTGTTATTTCACAGCAAGAATAACACTTAGATTTGCCTGTTTACACAATCTCATTTCTCATTTTTCCTGTTTACATATCAAATTATTTGTAATTTTACAACAAATATAATGCTTTAATCTGGCTGTTTACACAATCTCATTTTTCCTGTTTACATATCAAATTATTTGTACTTGTTATTTCATGGCAAGAATAATACTTTGATTTCCCTGTCTACACAATCTCATTTCTCATTTTACCTGTTAACATATCAAATTATTTGTACTTGTTATTTCACAGCAAGAATAATACTTAGATTTTGCCTGTTTACCCATTCTCTTTTCTCATTTTTCCTGTTTACATACCAAATGATTTGTAATTTTACTGCATAGAATAATAATACTTAAATTTTCCTGTTTACAGAGCCAGTGAAGGAAGTATCAGTGGTGATAATCAAACCAGATGCTGTTCAATCAGGCAAGGCTGAAGAAATTCTAGCTGAGGTAATCAGGCAAAATTTTCGATATCTATTTTAGTACTTGACATACTTATTCATATTTGTTCTAGACATAAATGTATGTCAATTTACTGGGTATAAATATACATTGTATAATGAATATCTTCATTAAATGCATGCAAAAAATAGATACAAATATGTTTGGTGTTTAATGACTTTTATGTCCCTTTGTATTCAAACAAAAAATAATAGCAAAAAAAAATTAGAAATACAATTTAATGTCTTATTTAATATTTATCCCCTCAAACTAAGTCATTTAATAGACATTATAAATTTGCTATTCATAGACCCATCTAAGGAATATTTTGCTATTTCTTGTCTTAGACATAATTGTGCACAGGCATGATTGTGCACAGATGATTTAATATAAATTACTGTCCCAATGATTCTGTGCAGGTAATTTAAAATAAATCATGATATAGATGCCATTGTGCACAGACAATTGAATGAACATAAATCATGGTCTGGGCATGATAATGTGCACAGACAATTCAGCATAAATCATGATCTGTACACTGTTTGTGCACAGGCAATTCAGCATCTATTCTGTTCTGGACATGAGAATATACAGATGCATTTAAACATAATTCATAGTTTGTGAATTGTGATTGTGCACATAAGTTCTGCATTGATTCATGTCTTTGCATGATTGTGCACAGGCAATGCGACATAAGTCATGATCTATGCCTGTTTGTCTGGGCATGATTGTGCACAGGGAATATAACACAGACCATGGGCATTTTGCATTTCTTGTTAATGTGAATGATAATAGAATATGTGTTTGCAAAGTTTGTATTGTTTGAAATATATTATTTAATGAGTATTTGATGTTTTACAGATGAGGAACAGAGGTATCGAAATTCTGAGACAAGAGGAGAGACAATTGACAGATGATGAAGTGAAGAATGTATACACCCACCTACAAGATGAGGTAAAACACCCCTCCCCCCCATAAAACTTCACACATTTATTTGAGAGCATAATAAGAGGTCACTATCCAAGGCCCAGAACTCCAATTTGGATTTTGTCAGAATTATGACCCCTTTTGAACTTAAAGAATTCACATTATTCAGGCTTTTGTTATACTATCAAGTATGAGAATAGTTGAGCATGCTCTCCTACTGATCGCTCTTGTTTTTGTCAAGAATAGGTAGATACTTTTGTTGGCAAAGTAATACTGGGCTGGAACCTTTTCACCAAATTTGTTTCAACTGAATTTATTGGATAAATTGTACTTATCACACACCCGTGCCGATTTTGTGACTCCATAAATATGGTATTGCACGGCCGTGCATATATTTTGACGTGACGTCATTAGCGTTATACAAACATAGTGTAAAGACGCGCTAAATGTTGGCGTTATACTATATGCGCGTCAATGAAAAATGACTCTTATTTCACTTTAAACTGTATTTATTTTTGGTATGTGATAAATAGAATATTAAATTCGTGTAAGTTCATTTCTGAATTTATTGCACTCGTTGAATAAAATAATATTATGCTCGCCAGAGGCTCGCATAATATAATTTTATTCAACTCGTGCAATAAATTCAGTATTGAACTTACACTCATTCAATATCCTCTATTTATACAACATTATCATTTTTCAACAAAGAAAGATTGGATTGGAAAACATTAGTAAAGAAATAATATTACTTATATCAGTTCCTATTCAGTCCCCACCAGTTTGTTAAGGTACTTTTAATTTTACAAAAAAAAAAAATGAATTTCTTATATTTATTTACAGCCATTCTTTGAGGAACTCTGTGCTTTCATGACAAGTAGTCCAAGTATTGTACTGGCTATTACTAAAGGAAAGACAGGTGAAAACATTATCAAGGAATTCAGAGATCTGATTGGTCCACCTGAAGTAGAGGATGCAAAGGAAGCTGCTCCTGAAAGGTAGGATAGTTTTACATTGTATAGTTACATTAATTTTTAAGGGTCTCATTTGACGTCCAAAATGGCCTAAAAATCAAAACAAACAAAGAAATGAAAATCTTACAATTAGATCAGCTTTAGCACTAAAAATTGAAAAATACGCAATCAGTAATAATAGAATAAACTCCGGATTAATATGAAGATTTTTATGCTCACCGAAGGAAGAGCATGTATTTGCCACTTTGTCCGTCTGTCCTCATTTTCTTGTCTCGGACATAATTCTTAAACTACAAGAGGTATCAGCATGAAATTTTGTAGTTAGATACATCTCATTGAGCGAAAGTGCAGTGCATAAGAACTGTAAGTCTGCCTAGTCTAATTTTGGAGTTATTGCCCTTTTATTTCATTTTTTCCACTTTGAATTTTGTCTGGAACTACAAGAGATACAACAAGAAACTACTTCTGTGTATCCAAAACCTATTCAGGGAGCATCATTTGGTTGGACCGGCTCTTGTTTTTGTGTGATTTTAGTTCAATCATAGTTTAAAGCTTTTAAATGCTTTTCATTTTGGTTAATTAAAATGTTTATTATGTAAAATCAAATGAACTGAAATTTTGCATACAAATAGCCCAATTCAAGGTAGGCTGTTTCAAATATGACTGTAAAATAATTATAGAATCAGTGTAATGAAAATATTTTGACCTCTTATTTTTTAGTTTACGCGCCAAGTTTGGTCAAGAGAAGTACATGAACGCTGTACACGGGAGCGACTCGTCAGACACTGCTGCCAGAGAACTTGCATTTTTCTTCCCAGACTTTGTTGCACCAAAGGTTGAAGGGAAACCAAAACTTCAGAGAACACTGGCCCTTGTCAGACCAGATGCTTATAAAAATAACAAAGGTATGAGTAGCAGTTGGGCCGGGGACTAGTAGGGGGAAAGAAAGGGGAGAAATAGTTAAGTCTAGATGCAGATGGAAATTTATAATAAGGTCCATCTGGATTGCTTTTAGGAATTGAATAAACATGAAATCATGGTCATTATTAGACTTGCTGATCCAAGTTTCTGATTTCAATTTGAAGAATTGTTTTTTTGTTGTTTTTTATTGCTCTTGAGGAATGTCTGTATGTAAGAATTTTAAATTCAATTCTATCATAAGTAAGCATAATGTAGAAGAATCAGGGGCATTTTGTTGTTTCCTTGAGCAAGCAACTTTTCACTCATTGGTCAGTACTGGTTGGTTCCAGGAAAGGATTCTACAGTGTGTCTATAAGCTTATAGCTTCCACATAATGGAACTAAAATAAATTCTCTATAAACCTGAATTGTCAGGGATGAGTTGGTGGTGGGGGATAAACTGTTTTTTCTGCTCCATCAAAGCTGTAAAATTGCCATATAACCTTAATGTTACTGGTGTTACTTATAACCTAACCAAAAAGTAAAAATTAAGAAATAAAATAGAATAAACACTATATAACAGTTGAGAGAATTAATTTTAGTCTTTTATCTATTTATATAGATCAAATTCTCGCCAAGATTCGTGAGTCAGGATTCAAAGTTGCTATGTCTAAAGAGATTCACCTCACAAAGGAACAAGCAGAAGAATTTTACAAAGAACACCAGGGTCAAGAGTACTTTGAAGAACTTACAACTAGAATGTCCAGGTAAGTCAATGATGGTGGCTATAAATATGGTCAGGTTTATCATACCTGCCTCCTAAATATTTAAAATTGACTTGTCCATCTTTCAGTCTCCCCCCCCCCCCCGAATATCTGAAATGGGCTTGTCCATCATTCAATCTCCCTCCTAAATATCTGAAATGGACTTGTCCATCATTCAGTCCCGACAAAACCATTTGAAGGATTTTATTTTTCAAAATATACACTGAATAGTACACAGTAGAGACGACAGGGATGTGCTAGCTGATTTTATTCTGCACTGATCCCATTGGGTATAATAAGTTGCGACCAGCAGGGCAAAGGGCTGAGGCTGTATGTTTTACCATTTTAAAGGGGTTTGGGTGGGGGAAATTGGAGTTTAGGGTGTATTTCAGAATGAACTTGAGATTTAGGGGGTGGAAGTTGTGGTGATGAAGTGGAGCATCTTTTAATTGGAGGAATTTGTAACATATGTATGAATTATGTTTTAATGTGTCCATTGACGAGTAACATATGTATGAATTATGTTTTAATGTGTCCATTGACGAGTAACATATGTATGAATTATGTTTTAATGTGTCCATTGACATAGATTATTGTTATTTCTGTTTCTTTGTGCTTATGTAATGAAAATTAAACAAAAAAATTAATCTTTTTCTTTTCCTAATATGTATTTTTATCATGTCATTACATTGTTATAAAATTGATCAGTCTTGGCATGAAAAAAATGAAAGGTGAGGCTGATAAATTTTTATAATATCAGACACTTGCATGGTATTCTCTATTTTTAAACCTAGTAATGATATTTTCAATTTAAAAAACAACAAATAAAAAACCCAAACATTTGTAAGGTATTAATAGCTTTACATATTCAGATATTTTGTGATTTTACTTTCAGTGGTCCTCTATTGGCACTTGGTTTGGCTAGAGAAGAGGCTATATCAGGCTGGAGAGAAATGTTAGGACCAACTAAGGTTGAAGAAGCAAAGGAGAAAGCACCAGAAAGGTTCAGTTCTATTAATTTAGCTTATACCTCAATCTTCTCTGTTTTAATGTAATCTGTGTATGTTCATTGAGATAGAAAACTGTTTGGTACACTTTTTTTTTTAGTATTGTCTGTACTCTAAGCAGACAAATTTGCATGCATACGTGTGAACTCTCCCACTTTTAGTGTTAGACTCCCACTTTCTGCAGCCATATTGTCAAAGATTTTTTTGAAGAGGTATTTTCACAAATTAAAGAAATCTCCCTATTTTTGAGGACAGAACTTCCTTCTTTGTTTATTGCAAATTCTAAAATCTCCCACTCTTTGAAGAAAAATCTCCCACTTGATCATCAAAAAAAGTTCACATGTATTTGCATGAGGCCCTAAGAGTTGAAGTGTATGGAATTTGACTGCATATATATCTTTATCATTTATTTTGTGTTACAGTTTGAGGGCACAGTTTTCAGAGGAGGGTGCACAGATAAATATGTTACACGGCTCGGACTCTGAAGAAACGGCCAAGAAAGAAATAGAATACTTCTTCCCAATGGAACAAACTGTTGCTGTTATCAAACCAGATGCTTATGGTACCAAAGGTATGTCATTTAACACTCACCTTGCTAAATATCTTAAATCTCAGTGCTTTCTTTAGGGCCAATTTGGGGCAAAAGTTATCTTCCACAAAAGTATATGTTTTTTTCACCTATTTCTGAAAAAAATCTCATTTTCAAAGAATTTTTTTTTTCTCTTGAGACCTATTTTATCATATTAGTGAGACTAAGAAGGGCATTGTTGTCTAACAAATATTGGTATTGAATCTCAATTTGACATCAAATTGACTATTTTATTCATTTCTTAATTTCTCTTTTTTCCGCTCTGCTACACAATTTTCCTCTTTCCATGTGCCCTGCCACCATTCCCCTAAAAGTGAAAAAAGCACTGCATACAACATTTTTTTGGGAAAAAAGAAATCAAAATTAGTACTGCCTCAGAAAAGCAACTAGTGTAGACCATCATATCAGACAGCAGATATCTACTTGTTGCATGGGTAGATTCAGTTGCCACTGGGTAAAGATATAAAACACAAGTTTAAATTTGATTAATTTTCTGTATATGGCTTTATATGAACTCAAACCTATGTTCTCTAGGATAAGAAGCTGACACCATATAGGCCACCTATTCTCTGATTGCCCAGGCTTGGTAACTTTCTAAATATATGTACATGGATTATTTACATAAAGCATGAAAAGCATGTGTAAAAAATTAGGTTTATGTTGAAATTTCAGATGACAGTGTGCCAATAAGTTTATAGCTTTGTATACAATTATACTGAAAAAACTTCTGACATAAAATGAAAACAACTGATGACAAGCAAACGAAACATGGGAAGTGACGGTGTCATCATTACCAGTTTTGTACCTGAAGTTGTCAGTTAAATCTGCAATTTAAAATAAATCTGGTATTAACTAATTTCAGATGAGATTATTGACAAAATTCACGAGGCTGGATTCAGAATTGCTGCGAGAAAAGAAACCACGTTATCTAAAGAAATTGCCGAAGAGTTCTATGCAGACCACAAAGACAAGGAATATTATAATGAACTTGTAGACCACATGACAAGGTTAGTGATAGATACATTTATTAGCTTGCCATTTTGAGTAATAGGGAGAGTTATTGTACTCACCCAAGCGTCAGCATCACCGTCACCGTCACAATTAAGTTATTGCATGCAAGTTGGCAAATTCTCTTGAACAACTGAATGGAACAAGTTGAACCTTCACATGCTTATTTTAGAGCATAATAGGTCACTTTGCAAGACTCATATATATTTCTAAAATGGAAATTGACAGAATTATAGCCCTTTTTGAAATAAGAAAATTCTACATCATCCAGGCTCTTGTTTTACTATCAAGCAATATATATAATATATCTTAACAAAATATACTCAACTGTTTCTAAGTAGGTTTGAATTAGGATTTTAAGCATGCTTTGGTACAGGCTTCAGATGAGTAAATCAAAGGATCCTTTTCCATATGTGTTCAAACTCAGTCTGGCCAGGGGCAGGCCATTGTTTCCTTTAGCACTAAAAACTTTACACTCATTGCTCAGTACTGGTTTGATAAATAACTTATTTAAGAGAGTGTTTAAAAGCATTTAGCTTTCATTATCAAACTTAATTAAATTCTGTATAAACTATTCTACACCATTGATTATGAAATGTTTTATGTTTGATATAACAGTGGACCCACATGCTTCATGGTGCTATCTAGAGAAGGGGCTGTGGACGGATGGAGATCCCTTATTGGACCCACTGACCCATCACAGGCAAAGGAAGCTGATGTAGATACGTAAGTATTTTATAAACTTTTCTTCCCCCTCCCCTAAATATCTGAAATGGACTTGTCCATCTCTTTAATCGGGACAAAACCATATATCATTTTTGGGGAACATTTTATTTTATATAGAGGATATTTGTTAAGTTCAGTGTAAGATCGGAATATATTTCACCGAGTGAGCACCAAAAGGTATATTTCACGAGTGGCGCAGCCACGAGTGAAATATGAACTTTTGGTGTTCACGAGGTGAAATATATTGCGATCTTACACTTAACTAAACAAATTTTCTTTTTATTACATGCTAAGAAACGTTTAAAAAGACATTTTATCCTAGTACTAAATGAAAAGCGCGCCAAATTCTAATACAACGTGACGTCATTTAGGACGTCACGTCATTAAGCTGGTTTCCCAGTACTGTGCACGCTGGTATTTCTCTGAGACAACGTAACGGGCTTAAATTCAAAACAGTGAAATTATCAAATTGATAATTTCACTGTTTCAAACAGTGAAATTACCAGTTTATAAATCTGATATATTTCTATAATCCATCGAAAAGCATGTAATAAAAACCTTTCTCCAACTAAATATCGGAAATGAACTTGTCCAACGCTTTAATCGGGATAAAACACAGATCTCAACGATTTGATTTCATATATCAATTTTAGGGATACATTTTAAATAAATAATTGACTGAATAACGAACAGTGCAGGTCTTGATCGGAAGGCAAAGATGTGCTGGCTGATCTTGGTGTGCACAGATCGCAACGATTGATTCATTTGCGCCCAATAGGCAAAATGTTATATTCAGTATACTATTCCAGTTACTATTTTGTTTGAACAGAAACTTAAGGTATTAATGGAAAAGAAAAAAACACTGTAAATTGGAAGTTTTGTCTGAATTATATTTTTTATTTCTTCTTTACATAACTGGTATTTGAATTAAGGAAATTAATTGGATATTATTTCTATACAGCTTTTTACATGAAAATTGTGGAATTAAAAACAAAAATTTCAAACAGAAATGTATTTATTTCATGTTGAAATTTTATAGTGTTGAACCATAAATATTTGCTTTTTCACATAATAGAATTTTTTGTTTGTTAAAAGGTTAATCAGAAATTCAGATTTTTTTGTTTTGTTTGTTTTTTAACCTTTTTTTTTCATTAATTATCTTAAAGAACATGCTTTTCAGCTTTTTGTTTCAAACTGCTGTGAATCAGAATTGTTATTTATAGTTAGAAAGAAGAATATTTGTCGGAAAATTTCTAAAAACAACATAATTTCTGCGTAAAAGGAAAACTTTTAACTTTATGTAATCAAGTCATGAAGATGAAGATGTGAACTTTAATAGTGCCATGATATCATGATAAACAAAAGTTCTATCCTGTTAGATAATGATAATAAAAAAAAAATCAGTACTTATTATCTATGTTAGCTTAACAAGCTGATTTGTTTTGTTTTTTACCTGACATTGTATTATATAAAATTATCAATTGAGGCTGGGCCTTGTGATTCTATGCTGGAGGCAAAGGGTTATCACTTTTTGGTTCCTGCAGGGAAATGGTTTAACATAGTTTGAACCAGTTGAAAAAAGTTTTGTCTGTAATATATTTTAAACCTTTATATCAATAAAGAATATCAATTAGAAATTTATAACATGTTTATTAGTTTGTTAATAGACTTAATTGTACAATATTTAGTCATCAGTGATTAATGGTTTAGTGTGGTTTGCATAACATGGTATCAACATATTTTATTTGTAATTGGTAGGGATTTCTAACTGAATGAATCAATATTTGACATTTAGTTGACAATATTCATGATATTAGAATTAAAAGATATATATCAAATGTAAGGCTTAAGTAATAAAACTGAAATTTTACCTTTTTTAATAATTTCCTTTTAATTAACTAGTAAGAGTCTTAAATACCATATTTTGTAGAGTAAATTGTTTTTGGGTTTTTTTTTCATAAAATTTGAAAGAAACTTGCTTTAAGAGTCCAGTTCTCAGAAAATATCATTTGAAATATCAACAACAACAAAAATAAAAGAAAATGATGAGTATTTCATGACAAACTGTATTTGTGAATAATCTTACATTTACTATAAATTCACTTAATTTCGTGGGCATGAAATTTCGTGGGTTTGTCAAAAATGATATTTTCATAAATTGTCTGTTTCTGCAGATGATTAAAATGCAAATAATGTAATATAAAGCATATGGAATGAATTTTTGTTGGATATTAGAATTTGTGGTTTGACATATCATTGAAAAAACACAAAAATTAGAGCCCCATGAATAATATTGATTTTACAGTATGTATCTATAATGAACTGAAAATTTTTGAAAATAGCAAATGCATTGAATTTCACAGCTATCAGACAGTTTGCAAAGACTCTGAAGGTCAGACTGAAGATTTTAAGTATTTTAAAAGAAATCTTGTAAATGTTTTCAAATGCATTGTCTGGACACAAATTAAGATATCCATTAAAGTTTTTTGTTAAGACAAATATCTCAATTATTGTTTGAGATATTCAATTGAAACTTACAATACTTATTTATAGTAATAATGTACATCAGATTGACAAGTTGGATAACTCTGCCTACAATATTGACGGAATTATGCCCCTTTGAAACTTAGAAATTTTGGTAAAAGTTTTTTTTGTAAAGTCAAATATCTCAATTATTGCTTGAGATATTCAATTGAAATTTACAATACTGTTTTATAGTAACAATGTACATCATTTTGCAAAATTGCATAACTCTGTCTGCAATATTTGCAGAATTATTTTCCTCTTTGAAACTTAAAGATTTTGGTTAAAGGTTAAAGGTCTTCAGAGATATTTCCTTGAAACTTTACACATGTACTTAGGGTCATAATTTGAGGGTCATAATTGTATGTCACTGACCAAGTTCCATAACTCTATCTTGCATTAAGGCTGATTCATATCCCCTTTTCTACTTAGTCTCTTGGTTAATGTTTACATGCAAGTTTTACATATCTCAATAACTATGAAAGATATTTATTTAAAACTTCACATATGCATTTAGGGTCAGAATTGTAGGTCACTGACAAAGATCCATAATTCTATCTTGCATTTAGGCTGATTTTTCTTCCCTTTTTCAACTTAAAAAATTCATGGTAAAGTTTTGCTTGTAAGCTGTTATCGCCATAACTACTGAAGGGTTTGTGCCTTTTTTGGGACAATTTTATGCATTCATAATAATAAACAGTGATTTACTTGATAAAACATCTTAATAACAAGCCTTTGTACCTTTTCTGTCAATTTTATGTATTCATAGGTAATTAGTATTATTATACTCAATAAAACACCCTTGTGACATTACCTTCCAAATAGTCAAGCCAATACTGTATAATTAGACTCTCTTTAAGGCCTATAACATGAATTTATAAAAAAAACTAGCCCTTTTGTGAACTTAGAAAATTTAACATTATCAAGACTCTTTAACTATCAAGCACTTAGAATAGTCGAGCGTGCTGTCCTTCCGACAGCTCTTGTTATGTTAAAATGTTGAATTCTGCTGAAGCCTGTGCTAGGGGGTGTGGACGGTAACTTGCACTTTCCAGTACCATCCATAGAAGACTCAATCAAACCAAGCCTGCAACATTTACAATTTTGTCATTTTAGGCTCTCTTAAGCAATTATGTTTTTTTTTCTCTATTTCATCAAAGATCTATGATTTTTTTTCTGTTGAATAATTTTTTAAAAATGATTTCATGAAATAAACATATTTATTTTTATACTTCCAAGTATACTTCCATTTGTACTCATATATACATACATTATATAACCTGATTTTTTTTAATTTTTACAATTGTTTATTGTGTACAATCACCAACCTTACTTAGTTTTTCATGGTATGGATTTTTTTTTGCATTATCCTGCAATAGAAAAGCATGGTTATTAAGCCTTTTAGATTTCATAAGCATGAAACCTTTTTTGAAATTATAATTTGAGATGCATGACGACTGCAGCCACTTAAAACTCAATAACGAAAGCACTAGTTTAGTAACCCAGAAAATGGCTAGTTCAATCCTCATGTGAGGGGAAGCAATGTTTTTCCATGACAATTAATCTGGGACAATGAGTCTAATGGTGATTTGTCTCTCACAGCTGATTCAGAAATCATGTCAGATTAGTAGTCTGTCACTGTCAGAGAAATTGGTGCATATTAACTGGTTTATTATCCGGGAAAGCCGGTTTCGGTAGATTTACTGCAGTCAGATAACCAGACAATTTGGTTAAAATCAGCATCAAAAATGATACTATACTTTAAAACAAACAAATTTTGATTCATCACATGATTTTTAAATTATATTCTTCAATATATTTGTTATTTAAATCGAAAAACACGCATATCATTTAGTTATATGTTTATGAGAACTAATACAGAACTAATATTTTATTTACGCAAAACTTGCATCTATAGATATTTTACGATAATTCTTTTCAACGTTTCAGTAGCGAACAAATGTGAGTATTAATAGGGAAACACAGCTGTAAATATTATGAGTGTACGCTATATTATGCGATGAGGAAAAAACAACATGAAACTCTGTCATGTAGTACTTGAAACAATATTCTCTTTCTTATTGTTGTGAAAATTCAAATTGATAACCTTTATGTGTACCTTTTATGTAATAATAAATTCCTTCAAACTGTTTTTAAAGCAACTCCACTGAGGTCCAAAAGTCCGAAAATTTCAATTTGACTTTTTGACATAGCTAGATCTACTGAGGGACTTAAAATAGAAAGATATTCAAAAGAAAATTAAGGAAATACACTCAGAAAGAAATTGAATTTGTTTTTTTTTTTGGTGCTAAACTTTGCCCGATTTAAGTGCAAAGCGGCGATGCTTTATAATTTTGGGACATTTTTCACAATTAGAATAATTGAAATTTAAATTTTGTTCGTGGTGATAATGAAGCAAGTAATTAAATGATCTGAAATTTTTCACACATGTCATTGGTCTTGATTGACTTACGTCA